TTCTGGTTGGCTGTGTGCAGACTGGCTGGCTTTTCAGTCCAGGCTTAGTTTAAGGGGTATGTTTTGGGTTTACTCCAGCAGGAATTGAGGTACCATGTTTAGGCATGTGAAGACTTCCTAATGCTGGTACTAGATAAATATAGGCTCTCAAGGGTTTTGTGCTTCTATAGTAGTAAAGGTTCGTGATGGTGGAAGTGACTGTGCCCAACATGAGAGTTCCTCCTAGTATATCACTGTGGAGGATCATGTTTGCATCAAAGTGAAGGGAAGGTAGACCTGGACATTGCAGGGACATTGGTGGTGTGCTTATCTCATTTTGCTATCTGTGGGCAAGTTGCTTATGAAAAAGATGGCAAAAGTACTGCTGAAAAATAAAGAAGCTAAAAACAGCTATTGAAAGAAATAACACTATGTATTGTAGAGGAAAACCAAACCAGTCTGAAATAAAGAAAATTCATTCCCCTGTACAGAAGTCTTTAATGTGATGCATCAACAAGAGAGGCCAATTTCAGGTGGGTCTGTGTTAAGGAGGATTGGGAAGAACTGTTGGCTGCCAGATTACAAAATCTCCTTTACAAAACAAGGGATTTCGGCAACTTTCTCAGCATTCAAATCTTCCTCCAAATGCAGTTCCAAACTGCAGTTTCCAGCCCCAGCACACAAACTCACATCTTTGGGGATTTTATGGAAAACACAAGGCAGCAATGCAATTGAAGTTTAGCGTCTAGCAAACAGCAGCTTAGCAGGGAAGTTGTACTTCCTAATTGTGAGCTGGGGTCATTGACGACGGGCTCTTAAGCAAAACAAAATGCCCTAGAGTCTGTATCTTTTCCTATCTGTCATTCCTCCATAGAAAAAGCTCCTAGTAAAAATCTACAGGAGATGAAGAGAACAAATCTCTTCTTTACGTCTTCCTATCACGAGAAAAGAGGAGGAATTTTAAGTTTCCTCTGCCAACACATTGGGTACTTTGGGATTTCCAGTTGTCACACTTAGCATCCAGGTGAGGCAGTTTGCTTTAAACAAGCCTTTGAAACCCTAAAAAAGCTGGGGGTACAGCAGAGCTTTATTATGCAAAAGAGAAGTGGAAGGTAGCACATTCCCAAGTATTTTGAGATGTGCTTTTAACTCTCACCAGCTGGATGGGTTTCAACAATAAGAACTGAATTTGGGGGTTGGAACTAGGTAATCTTTAAGGTCCTTTCTAAGCCAAACCATTCTGTGTTCTAGATTCTGTGCATCGGCTGACACAGTAGCAGTAAGTTAAACACACTGGAAAATCCAGGCACTGACTTCTGTTCATATTCTACGAGAGAAACCTCTGTACATGAGACTAGTTAGTAAGAAAGTGGTGAATGTTGAGAGGTAGTTGCTGCCGTGACAGGGCAAAAAAGGGCAAGCTGGTATTGGTAAATGTGATAGACCTGTGTGTATCGAGTTGCTTTGGTCAGTGTTAAGCAGCAACATGTGTTTTTATGCCACAAGGAAAATACTCTTTTGTAGTGGAAGGTGCTAGTAATGATAGTAGAGATGCTTTGAATCACTCTATTTTTCCCTTACATCTTTTCAACTGTAATTGGGCAAGTAAAGAGGAAAGTATTTGTAGTCTGAAAGCTGACAGGTTCTTCTTAGCTGTTGTCTTGGAAATCAAATGTCTGCTCTGTGGGAGTGAGTGCAGTAGATAGAGTGGCAATTACTGTGTCAGCTGAGGCTACCAAAACCAAGCTAACAATCTGTTTTTTGAGAACTAACAGTTTTTCTCAGGTTATCTTTCAAGATATCACAATAAAGACTTGGTGCAATTACTTTCAGCAAACCATTTATAAGTTTCTTATTGTGCATGTGGATGTCTGTAAGCACAAGAACCTAATGCTGCCTCTGCTAAAATCAAATATCAACAGAGAATGTTTTAACAGAAAAAAAGATGCTAAGTCTGAGTGAGAAAGCCAACTTACAGGAGAAAAATCCCAAACTTTTTTTTTTCCTAATATCTATTTAGATGAGCTCTTAGGCAGAAGTTCTTCCCTGTGAGGGGGGAAGCCACAAATTGCCCAGAGAAGCTGTGGCTGCCCCATCCCTGGCGGTGTTCAAGGCCAGGTTGAACGGGGCTTGGAGCAACCTACTCTAGTGGAAGGTGTCCCTGCCTGTGGTAGGGGGTTGGAACTGGATGAGCTTTAAGGTCCTTTCCAACTCAAACCAGTCTGTGACTCTATGTATAGCTCAAGGGAGACCATATAGAGTTATCAGAGGTTGAATCTGCCCTTGTCACCTCCCTGGTTTTTCTCAGTGTGCTTCCAACAAAAAAGGGGAAGAGCCATCTGTGCTAGTTAGATAGGAGCCATCATGCTAGTTAGGTAGGAGCAAATGAAAGCTTTTGCCTGATGTGCAGGGTAATAAATGTGTTTAGGTGCACCCTACAACAGTTTTGACTACAAATTGTGATGACTCTTGCCATCCTATTGATATGCGGATTGACTCCACAACTTGTGAAAGTTGTAAAGTAGGTATGCTTTTTATTCAGCGCTGAGACGCATGGGGATAATTCCTCAAAGTCATGCGTGCCTCAGTGTTGTTTCCCTCTACATTTATTCTCTAAAGTTATATATATTCGTAAGGTTGCACAATACGCATATACATATTCATCTCCTATCCCTGCTTCGTATTATAATGAGTTAGAAGGTCCTTTGCGCCTGCGCAGTGCCCCCTCTGGTCATGGGCAGGGGTCTGAAGATGAAGTAAATTAGTCTTCCTCCTGTGGATAGGGATCTTCAAGATGAAGTAAATGAGTCTTCCTCTTCTTGAACTTTTCACCTTTTAGTCTTCATGTATGGCCTTAGGGTTTGGTCGGCGTCCCAGCCATAAACCATCTGCTTCTCCCCCTTCAGGCACCTGCTTTTCCTTATCAGTAGCTGGTTATCAGTAGAATCAGGCTCTGCTTTTCCTTGTCAATCGAACCAGGTGTCTACTTTTTCTTATCAATAGTTAGTGCCTTTGTTCTGCTTAGCAGGCATAATAGGTACAGACAATATTTTTGTTTAAGCAAGTAAATTCCTCTAACCCTCTTGTACAACCCCCTTGTACACTGGCTAACCCTGTATCACTATCATAACAGACACCTCCAGAAATAACTCTCTTCCTGCTCTCTACTGTCCTGGCTGTGTGTTGCTAATGCTGCTCTGCTTCCTAGCACTGCAATGGGTACAGCACCAATTCCTGCCTGCACATCTCCCTTCCTAAGGCTCAGACTGCTGAAGAGTGCACTGGTAAAAGCTGAGATGAGAACCAGTTTTAGAGCTTCTTCTTTTACTTGGGAAGAAGATTCTTGTGCTCTATCTTCTCTATATTCCTGTCTTTCTCCTTTTTTTTCCCAGGTTGTTTGGCTGGCAGCACAGGATGATGCATGAGCTACCATTGGGAGCAATATACAATTTATCCAACATATTGGTGTGAGAGCAGGGAGAAGGGAAGAAACACGATTTTCTCCACATATTCTTTTTTCTGTATTGTAAACTTAAAAACTGTGTGTTGTGTCCTATAATCCTATCTGCCTTTGGTCTGTAGCAGTAGAATCTGTAAATGCAGAGGAAATGAGCACTGCAGCTTTTATCAGAGAAATCTCTTTGGATTAGTTCAGTAATATGAGGAAGAGGTGTCTGTGAGGCAGATAAATAAAGACCTATTCCAAAGCCCTAAGGGAGGCAGCAGGAAGGCTCAGCTGTTACTTTAGAAGCTTAGCATATGCTGCTAAGCCTGCAGAGCAGTGAAATGCATTGCATTTTGTGGCTTTTTTGTCATTAATGTATCAAGGCGCTTGGACTTGAATGCGTGATTATCTGTGTATTTAGAAAGTGCCAAAATAACCGGGTTGTTCTGTGGTCCGTGGCCAGCTCGTGTCCAGGACCTGCATGAGTCCTCATTTAATTGAGTTCATAACTCCTTGCAGAATAAGGCTGGAAAACATAGAATCACAGATTGGTTTGGGTTGGAAGGGACCTTAGAGATCAAAGGCTCCAACCACCCTGCCCATACCACTTAAAAATCTGGCCTGGTTGGAATCTTATCAAGTACTTTGTCTTCAGACATCTTCATGACTGATTATTTAGCCTATATTATTTTTATTGTAGGAGATAGCAAGGTTTTTCAGTTGAGAAGGAAGAATTAAACTTTTGGGTGCAGAAGCTCACAGCGAGAGACTGTTTATTTGGGGTTTTTAAATCAACCTTCACAAATCACGTGGGGCTTCCAAAAGCCTCCTCCAAGGCAAAGCTCTTTTTACCATCTCTGTTCTATGTCCTTATGGGACAAAAGGTAAAATATTGATGACAAAAGGGCTATATTGATAAGTACCTGCTTCATGACTCAATATACAGTCAAATATTCTATTGATTTCAGGTGTGCATTCCTAAACAGCTGGAGTGTATATAAATAATCAGCTTGCTGCATCCAAAAGAGAGCTGACCTGCTGTGCAATTACTATTTTTAACAGATAAATTGTTGCTTTTAACTTAAAAGATGAGATGAACTCTATATTAGGCTTCAGGATAACCTTAGCAACAAGGTATTCTGCTGTTCAGAAGCCCACGTGGAATAAATTTCATCTCTGACAGGATTTCCCTGATTTCTGTAGATTTAAATCAGGAATTAGTTGACCTCCCAGTGTTTCAAACCAGATAGGAGGTCAGCAGCCCAATGATAAATTGGATAATGTGGTTATGCACGTTAAAATATATACAGAGTTCCAATGCCTTGATGTATATATTTCCTTTCCCATCTACCAGAGTATGATCTTAGGAAGTACATAGGTTAATCATCATACTCAACTCTCAAGCACTGAGTGTACTGTGTACACAGTCACTCAGCTCATTGGTCACAAAGAGATATAAAAAAAGTGAAGGCCATACTGTGTACTCTATCTAACTTAAAGCCTTTCTCATTGCTCATACCAGAGTGAAGCTTTCAGTTTTAGGTCACACTCTGTGATGTACACACAATCTGTGATTTTCTGTTCACAGTTCTGGCAGTGGTTATTTTGAAGAGTAGCAAAACAGTCCCTGATGCTGCCCTTCCGGCCTGGAATTGGCATTCTCTCTTTATAAGCATGACATTTAAGGCCACACAAAACAGAAATGCTCTGTGTGCTTTGCTCATGCTGCTTAATGCTTTCTCTTCCCCAGGGCCAAGATGAGCTGCAGCCACCACAAAGGCCACCTCGCCTGGGGAGTTTTGTACTACTTGCAGTGATTTACAACCTCAAACACAACCACAAGCCTCTGTTTGTATCTTCTCTATGGGCTGTAAGTGCTTTCTGGAAATAGCTTTAAATGCATCATCACTGTGAGCATTCTTATTGCTCCAGGCCAGCGGGATGGAGCATCATTGGAAGTTCAGGCTTGTCAGTTTAAGAGCTTGATTTGAAAAGTCACCAGAAAAATAAAGAGGTTTGTTGCACTGGTGCTTCATACACCACTGGACAGTCTTTGTTTTCCACTTGAGGTTCTCATGAGCGCTGATAGTTCAACCTTCTAAATCCAGCCCACCAGATCACAAAAGCTATTCAATGGATATTTATTCTTCCCTTTGTGAGAGCTTGATCTCCAAACTGCCACAAGCAGTTTCTTAATTTATCTGTGAAAACACCAAAGTCCCAGGACAGTTTCAAATGGAGACTAATTCTGTTTAGAGAAGATGTGGCTGACAGCTTAGTCTGCCTGTGCAACCTAAGCATTGCAATGCCCACATAGCCTATGAGAAGACTTGTCAAATAGTGTTAGATTAAATGAAATTAATTAATTGAAGAACTTTTCTGATTTGCAAATCAGTCACCAAATATCAGGGGTCTGCTTAAAAGTTTTTCACAGTTCCCTGATGATTGTTTGGGTTATTTTGAAAGTATTAATAGCTCCTTCTAAGTGGTGGTGTACATTGTTATAGAGTGACAAGTGGGAAGATGGGGGCAAAAAACCATTATCATTATCGTCATCAAATGCTTTTCAGATCAGCAGATCAGTAACATACCCATGGATCAGGCTATTATCAGTCTGTATTTTCTGCCTGCTAGCAACTTCTTTTTTTTTTTTTTTTGACTTCTTTTGAATTTTATCAGAATGAAAATGTTATTTTCAGTACTTCATGAAATGAAATGTCAAAATGTGCACCTTTCATTTTCAAGTGAAGGTAACCTTAATACAGCTGTATGTGTGTGTTTATTCCTTCAGACCAAACAGCTATGATTGCTGATGCATGTGGTAGTTTAACCCTCGAGTGTAAAACTAGCTTAACTTAGCAGTTAGAGGCTGCTGTAACTTGGGGCTGTTAGTTACAGCATCTTCCTTGCATACACAGTTATTTCTGCTCACTTTGTGTCAGAGAGAGGTGCAATGGGCAGGTAACACAGAAACTGGGCTGGTTTTGGGTGCAGAGCCAGCTCAGCCACCTCCTCACTGCTGGAAAAAAGCATAAATCACCTCAAAGACACGCTACTTTGTAATGTGTTATTGAGCAGCATTCCTTGCAATTCAGAAAGCTTCATCTCCTCTAAAACTCACTAGTATAGATTAGTTGGATCTTAGAGTAAAGCCTTAATAGCTGCCAGTTAGTATTTTTCCTACTGGGGAGATTGAAAATGATTCTTCATTAGATTTCAGAAATGCTTTTTGAAAACTTTCCCTTTTCTTGCCTTTCTGCTGGCATATCTTGTGTTTCTGCCTTTGAATTTACAGGTATTCCCTATGTCATTCCACCTGCTGCATGAATTCCCTACAGCTACGAGCTTATGGTTGGTATTGAGATGGGCTTCCGTTCTATTTCTATTTCTCTTCTGTTTCTTTTTCCAGACTGACTTTCTTTCTGCAAAATGGACTTGTGCTGTTGGATACCTAATCCCCTGTTTGTAAGCAAGTCTTAATTATCTACTTCTTTCCTGTTTGCTTTTTGAAATAAGTATAATAAAACCAGTAACCTCTCCAGTACGTGTCTGGACTTCAGTACATGATGCTCATGAGCGTTTTGTCATCTACACAAGGGTCACCCAGGGTGAGAAACATTTTCTGTACAAATACTGGGGTTTTTCCTCGCATATGTTAGATGTTTACTGAGGATGTAATTCTGCTCCTGGTGCAGTGTGTGTCGGGTATCACCCAGCTCCCCATCTGGCACGCACCGAGTCAGATTGTCGATCCATGGATTTCCAGCCTGCTTAGCTATGAAAGAGCAGAGATGTGCAAACAGGTAAAGCTCGCTCTCACCCCAGAACTGGTGTGGGGTGGTCAGGGTAGCAATGTTATTCAGTGTGTTTGCGGCAGTAAAGAACTGAGCAAGATTCAAAGGGCTTCAAATTCTTAATAAAAACTTTCCAAACGGTAATTTTCCATTGGAAAATGTCCCCATGGCGTGTCAGGAGAGCTGCAACAGGGGACTCTGGGAGCGATCGCTGGTGGCTGCACGTGGGGTGTTGTGAGCAATTTCTGCAAAATGAAGTCGGCTTTTACACAGCAAATACTCTATTTACCAAAAATCTCTTCTGCTATGGAAATGGTCCTTGCTGAGTACTTTCAGTCTATTCCCCCCCACTGCTGTTGGCATTCCCAGCTTGCACCGATACTGGGAGCCTTCACCAGGGTGAGCTGAAAGCTGACAACGCTTTTTCCACACTCAGTGGAGACTTTGTTGGGGCCTCTCTGGCCTCTAAAACGCAATGTCTGCAGAGATGAGGGGTGTCAGTGAGTTTTATTCCCAGAGAGGAGGAGTAATTTTGCATCCACGCGCTGTTATTTGCATCCACATGCACACACAAGAGCCTTTTCTAACCGGACATATGGACGTGGATGTGCTAATGTGTTATGATGTTGGTAACTGACTGTAATGAGTGACTTCTGTGTGGTTTTAGTAAATGATTGCAATGGCAGGTGACTGCAGGAGAGCTAGAAATGCTGTTAACACCACACAGCTTATTATCAACCCTTCTCCAGGGACTTGAAGTGAGCGGTTCCAAGCCAGGACAAAGCTGCTGTTTGTTCTCCTTCTGCCAGTGTAAATTTAACTGTTAGAGATTTCTCTAGTGTTAAAGGAACTAGGGAAATACACAGATGTCCTCTCTCCTGAATGCTTCTGCAGGGAGGATGGCAGACTGTGATCTCTCCTTCAGAGAAGGTGTTGGTGCAGGTAGAACTGGATCTTGACAGAGGGGTTAGAGCTGTCATAACACTGATCTTCATTTGGCTAGAAAAGGGGCTAGAAAAAGTTGTATTTTTTCAGTGAAAATTACATTCCCCTTCTGACTAAACCTCCACCCCAAAAAAGAGAACGCATTAAGGTTTTAAATTTATAGGTAACGTGTTGATTGTAAGGGAGAAACTTAAATTTATCCTAAAGCTCAGATTTCCCTTCCACCAGATGAAATTCAAGCGATTCACTGCAATCAGCACCTCCATTATCTCCTCCTCACAGATTGCTCATGGCTGCTCTCCCCCGAGCATTACCTGGGTACCTTCTGCAGGCATGGCTGGTGTCTGATATCTCTTGTCTTTTCTGGAGGAATTGCTTGACAGTTGCACACAGTGTTGGTTTTGAAGGCTTTTTGCTGTTTTTTTTTTGATTGAGCAAGGAATTGAAATAATTGCAAGCCCTCAATAAGAGCAGCTTGCAAAGCCAAGCTTCAGTGGAATACGTTTTTCTTTTGAAGTTAAAAGCATGTAAAGGAATTGATGTTGCCTAATAGTATGTTAGAGGAAAACTTCTTTATTTTAATTTGGTAAAGAAAAGCAAGCAATGGAAAAGCAAACAGAACACAGTCATCACTGCAGAGGATTTTGACATATTGCAGAATTCGCTTTGCTCCCTTGATACTCTGCTGGCTTTGGATCACTTCATTTTAATGACCCTTTTTTTTCTCTAGCCAGTGACAAGGTTACTTTCCCTCTTTTCTACCAGTTAGCATCTGTTTATTTTTGTTGGTTTACATTAGTTTAATTTTTATAGCATTTTCTTTACCTTATGGCAGAAATTTTAGCCATTTGCTTTTTAGTTTGAGCAGAATACGGGAGCAATAAATGTCTAGAGGAAGGACCATGAATTTCTTGTGAAGGTTTCCAGATTTGCAGGGTGTTTGCTAAGTGCTTTTGGAATCATTTCAGTATCAATGTCTGTGACAGGCTCTGTTTATTTTTCAAAGAAGACAGGCAATAAATTGCTCAGTTTCTGGGAGATGGTAAAATTGTCCCTGAATTCTTAGCAGTAAAGTGGTGAGTTGTTGATACCAGTACTTAGGCCTACAAATGCAACGTGTGAAAGAGGTGCCTAATGAGAAATGGTCCTTGCAGCCAAAGCTCACTCCAGGCAGCTCATTTCTGTAGTAAAGAGAGATGGCTCAGTCCTAGAACTTTGCAGTGGTGGGACAGCAGGGTAAGCCAAAGGCGGTATCTGTAGTGAGAGGGTCCTGGGAGTCCCTGCTGATAATGGTATCCCCAGACCTCCTGAACAAGCAATGAGGAACAGGGTGTGTAATTCTGAAATTCCAGTCTTGGACTTGGTGCAGGAGGGATGTTTGCTAATAAGCAGCAGAAAACAGAGAAAGGAAAGCAGTTTTCTGGCAGTGTTGAAATGCTGCAGCAAGAGGCAGGCCCTTTGTCAGTGTGGTTTTGCTTTGCCACCGCTTTGTGGAGACATTTTAGCTTTGTTACCAGCTGCGTTTGCTGCAATCTGTGCTTCTGTTGCAAGTGACACTTCCTAAGCAAGTGTCCTGAGCCTGGCGCTCCAGCACAGCACAGGAAGTTGTGGTTCAGGGAATGGATACCTGGAGTAGTGTTTTCCACCTCTTGGACAGAGCAAGCCTTACAATGGATTGGAAGCAAGTTATCTTCTGCAAATGTCGTGTTCATTCCATAAGTCTTCCTCTTGCATCTTTCTTGGCTGTTAGAGGAGAGCAGGAGCAGCAGTGCCACAGAACACACACAGACGCAGGTGAAACGAGTGGCAAAGGGTATGATTTACCATCTATGGTGTCTGCTGATGTCTAGTGCTCCTGCAGTCCCTTGAGCAAATGAAATGAAAGCCATTGTGAGTAAGATCTGGCTGTCAGTCTGTGCACCACTGCACCTTGGGAGCTAAAGAAAGCAGGCAGTGCTGGCTTTGGGGGCATCTTTGCCATAGCTGCCTTTCTTGACTGTTCATGGAAGGTCCAGAGTATAGGATGGAAGAATATTTCTATTACTACATCAGTTTCTTAGACATGAGGGTGGAAGCACAGGGCCAAAAATGTGGTCTGAGCCCTTGGACGAGTTATGGGGACAGATTTGTCCTTCTCTTCATGGAGTCAGAGTGCTGATAGCTTCAGAGGCACAAGTCCAGGGAGATGAAACATCCATTATTTCCTCTGTGGATGGGAGAATTACTTCTCTGTGGCATTTCTTTGCTAGTCTGGCACATGAGGCTGGAAACTTGGTTTCTTGTTAATCGAATTGCCAGGAGTGACTGATAGCATTTACCAGGTTTTCAATATCCGCAAGCATTGCCTACCAGTTTAGAGCAAAGAGACTTGTCTGGAGGCTTTTCCTCTGTCCTCAGACAGGGCAAGTCTCTTCCAGCTCTTCTAAATGTCTATCTTGACCATGTCAGTCTGTGTTCTAAAGTCTGGAAGCCCCCTGTTATACAGCAGCACTTTGGGAGAGAAGGATGGTGAGGAAGCACTGAATGCTGCTCCATCTCTGCTGGGCCCTACCACAGCATCCCAGAGCATGGGAGCTGTTGATTAAATCAAAGCTCATGGGGGAGCTGCCAGCAAATGTGAATTACTTCAAGGCAGTACTTAGAGAGGGCTGTGTATCACACATCACTGGATGTTTGGTCGCACTCACATGAATTCATACTTTTGGGAGATGGTTGCTGTTGCTGCAGTCCGCAGAACAGCCAATGATTCTACCTTGGGATCCCGACTGCTGTCAGAAAGCTCTGTATTTGCAAACTGAGAGTGTTTATTAAACCCCAGCACAGTAAATTTTACAGTGTGTGTAAGCCACATATGCTCCCTGGCTCCCCAGAATTCCTTTATTACAATTGTGAAGAGGTAGCATTAGCTGTGGGAAAAACAGAGTTTTTATAGTTTTCAGGCAGTTCTTTCTGGTTCTCAACTGCTGCTGCAAATTCAGACCAGAGTGAGATATACATCTATATATATATAATATATATAATGTCAGCATGTATATAGTGTTTAGTTCTGTTTAGTCCAAGCTGACATGAGAAATGTACTGATTCATGCCTGGAAACTGAACCTTAATGATTAATTTTTGCTGTTAATATCAGCCTTTCTTATTGCAACACCATCACTGTTAGGATGTTTTCACTGCTCTCCACTTTAGCCCACCAAAGCCCACAGATCTGTTTTTGCACTAGTATTACACAGTGTAACCCCATTTTGTGTTTTCACATTTCGTTTGGCCACACTCCATGCAACGCTTAGTCCTTGCTGATTTTGGACAATTTCTGTCTTTGAGCATGGGTATTGAACCATCTCCTAAAGCTTGTGTTGTCTAAAGTAATTTTCATTGCTTGCTCTTATAAGCTGTCAAATGATTTCAGGACTGAATCACTTCTGTAGTGAAAAGGATCATTTTCGTGATCAATGTAACTTGAATCACAAGAAAAGGAAAAGCAATACAGGCAATAATTATTTACTGGTAGGGCTGTCAGGGATCCAGAGGACCAGCTGCTTTCACTGGTGCTGGGTTATGAATGTGCTTTTCGTGTGGGGAAAGTGGACAAATGTTGGTAGCCATGGGTCCAACTAGAAAGCGCACATCTGCGCTGAGCACAGGCCAGTGTCTTGTGAAGGCAAACCACTTGATGGACTTCACTTCAGCACCCTTGCTCTCCAGTGGAATAAGAAGTACCAGACTGAGCCAAACACTTTGGGGCATTTTTGTGTCTTCCTTGCAGTCAGTTTGTGCAGGTTTTGGGAGTTTTTTGAGTGTTTTGCTGAACTGGGATGAACATAAGTATACAGTTAGTTACACTTTAAAATATTCTCAAAACATTGCTGAATCATTGGGAAGTACAAACTACACGTGAAGGACAAAGTTCTGGATGGAAGGGGTGCAGGAAGGGTGGGAAACAGCTGTGGTGGGGTTTTCAAGCAAAGCGCAGCAGGGTCAGGCATCCGTATTTCATGATGTTTTGGGCGGGAGGGACCTTTAAGATCATCTTGTTTGACAATCTCAGCCTAGGTAAAATGGACTGGTGAAATCAGAGCTGCTCTGGTAGCTTTTCTTCTCATTACTGCCCACATGTTTTCCTTATTTTCTGCTCTTCAGAAAGGAACATAGTTTGGGATGGCACAGCTTGAAAAGTTGTCAGGTTTCCTGAATTGTGGAAATATGTCATGATCTGAAAGGTGCTCCAGTTTACCTGAAGGAGGACTGTGCTGGAGAATGACCTTCTCTGGTGCTTGGTCCCTACAGACCCTCACGGGATGAGACATGGCAACGCTCTAATCATGTGGCAAATCTGTGTAGACACTACCCTGTGCTCCTCACCCATTTCAGGATCCTTCCTGAGACACTTCCAAGGTTGCTGTCTGTATGTGCTGGTTTCTGTCAGACTGAATAGGCCCTAAAGGTGCTCTGTCTCTGTCTAGTACTGAAATTTCATCTTTTTAGGTGAATTATATTCTCCATCCCCCTGCCTCCCCCCCCACTCCAAAATAGAATTGAGTTCCCCAAAAAAATGTATCACAAAGGCCATTTTTCATCCTTTATTTCTCATCTTTTCACACCTATTTATTTTTCTAGCTGCAACAATAATTGATATCGCAGGATGAACAGGACAGGCAACTTGAAAGGGGAATAAATGGAATGTGGCTGAAGATGCTTCTTTCTGGTCACTTGGGTCAGAACTGGTTGGCATTCCAAACATCCAGGCAGAAGCAACACAAGTTCAATCACAAGAAGACCCATGAACCAGTGAGTTCAGTTCAAATATTCAGACTGTACCTCTAATATTTCAGATTCACAGAAGAAAATGAATTAGTGTTCTCCTCTTCATCAGTGAGTATCCACAGTAATTGTATCCAAGTCAATAATCTTAGTTCTCTTTCTCTTTTATGTCACAGAAAGTGTAAGGCTTTCCCATTTGAATGAGGTCCTTTCTGCAGCTTGGATCAAGAGCAGTCAGTCAGCACCCACTGCAGGGGAGCTGTCACTGGTTTAAACTGGTGACACAAAGGGCTGAATTCAGTTTCTTATTGATGTCAGATATTCAGATGTGCTGCAAGTTGTCTGTCTCCTTCAAAACAGTTGCCTATCTATCTCCTTCTTGTCGTTGTCAGAAAGGGTTGCTTACAGAGCACGAACTTCACAAGATAAATAAACTCTGCCAGGCATAAATCATTTAGGACTTCACAGCACGTTTCACTTGAGCCCATCACTATCACTGCAGGGCTCTTCTAAATCCTCCATTACCAAATCTTGCTGGTTATTCACCCAATTTCCTTTCTTGACTGTCTTCCCCGCCTCCTCCTCTACATTTTGACAAGCTTGATCCTGGGGCATTTGGTCATTGGCAGCTGGCAGAATGGCATTACCTTGGCCTTGCTGAGAGCAGAGCTCCCCGTGATCCATTTCCTTGCAGCAGAGCTGGAGTTTGGAGGCTGCCTGAAAGCCACGACGGAAGTTTTCATTAAAGAACCCATAGATGATGGGGTTGACACTGCTGTTGAAAAAAGCCAACCAGTGAGCAAAGGGGTAGATGTAAATATTGATGATCTGCAGCTGCATGTCGGAAAGGTTGGCATAGTCTGTGAGCATCATCAGAGTCCACAGGGGAAGCCAGGACACGGCGAAGAGCAGAGCCACAATAATGAGCATTTTGATGACTTTTTGTTTCTTCTTGGATCTGCTGTGCTGCTGCTCCTGGCTGTCTTTGTCCCCCATGGCCACTGCTGTGTTGCAGAGAGCCATGCTTATCCTGGCATACATGAGGATGAGGAGTGACAGGGGAGCCAGGTAGATGCTGGCAAACAGAACTGTTGTATAGATCTTTCTCATTCCTGGGTCAGGCCAGTCCTCCCGGCACCAGTACACAGGGCGGGTTTCATTGCCGTAGCCAACGATGACCCTGAAACGCTTCTCTTCTTGTACCTGTAGCATGACCACAGAAGGACACATGATGGCAATGGCCAGAATCCAGATGAGCACAATACTGGCAACTGCAGTTGCACTGCTCAGCTTCTGCTTGAATGGGTCAATGAGGCGCCGGAACCTGCAGCAAACATAGACATGGAAAAGCCATTTAAGGAATGCTGAATCTTAACAGGCAAGCCTACAAATGCACTGAAATTGTATGGCTTCTAAAAACATAGATGGAATAATTTCCTCATCCTGCATGAACCACTGGAATTGCATTGAGATTCTCTGTTCAAGAGCTGTGTGGTAAAAACAATATTAAAAAAAAGGGCACATTCACTATTAAAATTTCCTCATTTTAATCTCCATATCATAGAATCACAGAATGGTTTGGGTTGGAAGGGACTTTAAAGATCATCCAGTTCCAACGCCCCTGCCACAGGCAGGGATGCCTTCTGCCTGTCCATGTTGCCCAAGCCCCTGTCCAGCCTGGCCTTGAACACTGCAGGGATGGAGTATTCACCACTTCTTTGGGCACCCTGTTCCAGTGCCTCAGCACCCTCACAGTAAAGAACTTCTTCCTTATATCTAACCTGAACTTCCCCTGTTTAAGTTTAAACCCATTACCCCTTGTCCTGTCATTACAGTCCCTGATGAAGAGTCCCTGTCCAGCACCTTTGGAGGGCCCCTTCAGATACGGGACAGCTGCTATGTATCAGCCTCCTGCTACTGCTACTTCACTGAACCAAAGCAGGTACTAGTGCCTCTGCTATATATCTTCATAGCTAAGGAACAGTCTAATTCTAGGCAGGCAGGCATAGCCCATATCTAGTGTCTTTAAGAGATACCAGGGGAGGAGCAAATTGTCATGGGTGCTCTTTAGACCCAGCCACATTCTGATTTGCTTAGTAGCCTTAGCAGTAAAATGTACCCAGTTCATTGCATTCTTGTGTGGATTAATGAATCAACCTCAGCCTGGTCAAGTGGCAGAGGGAGATGGAAGAGGCAGTTTGCAGTCTCTGCACCGTCTTACCTGTCAACAGCAATTGCAACTAGAGTGAAGACAGAGGCAGAAACAGAGACTCCTTGGACCATCCCGCTCATCTTGCAAATCAGGTTCCCAAATGGCCATCCTGGAAGGAAACAGGCAATTGAAATTCCCACCAGCTCACTGCAGCATTATGCTTATACAAGTAACAGGAAATTTCCACCCCAGTGCTAAGAAGTTTCTTTGGTTGTGTCAGGCCATAGCAAGGGTCAGGAAAGCAGAGGTTTTGTAAACAAACACTTTGCCAAATGCCTTGGGTGAGTTTCTAATGTTCCAAAAATCAGCAAAGCAACATTTCATAGAGTCAGAGAATCCCAGGTTGGAAGGGACCTCAAGGATCATCTGGTCCAACCTTTCTAGGCAAGCATGACCTAGACTAGATGTCCCAGCACCCTGTGCAACCAAAACTTAGAAGCGTCCAGTGTTGGGGAATCCACCACTACCCCAGTGGATTTTCACTATGAGAACAATGGCTGTTCCCATTGTGAAAAATTTTCCTCATGTCCAGAAACATCCCATTTAACATCCCATTAAAAGGAGATCTCAAGACAAGGAAGAGAACTGACCAGCACAGTTGGTTGTTCCTGCATCTGGCTCATAGCACCCTCTTTCTAAACATGTCATCTGGCAGTGGGAGAATCCCTTCTGAAAGACGAGGGATGTGGAAGTCAGTGAAGACATCCCCAGTCAGGAGGTGGGTTAGGTGCTTGTCTTTCTTATCTCTGACTTCCACTGACTTGAACCTGGCCTGGCAGTGTTCAAGGCCAGGTTGGACGGGGCTTGGAGCAACCTGGTCTAGTGGAAGGTGTCCCTGCCCATGGCAGGGGGCCAGAACTGGATGAGCTTTAAGGTCCCTTCCAACCCATTCTGTGAACTCCCTTCATAGCCCACTCAGAAACAGGCACCCGGCTCTCAGGACCTCAAGGTGAGTCCCCCCTTGAGGTCTTTCCACCAAGGGGTGTGAACCAGCCTACCTGCAATGATGTTATCCAGGAGGGTGGTAGGCATGCAGAAGATTCCCACCAGCAAATCGCTGACAGCCAGGTTTAAGATGAAAATGTTTGTGACTGTACGCATACGTTTGCTCTTCAGCACAATAAAACAAACCACTCCGTTGCCAACCATGCAGAGCAGGAAGATCAGGAGGTAAGAAATGATGAAGACAGCTGCCACTAAAGGCTGATGAAGGTAGAAGTCCACGTAGGAGACATTCCCTTCTAAGTAGAGGTAGTTGTAAGTCCTGTTATAATTCAGCATGTGAGGCCATTCGAACGGAGAGTTTGAGTCCATTTTCTTGCTTGTATTCTAATGTGCTTTAACAGACATTTAAAAGAGGTCATTTTAGTGTGCTTGGAATTGATCTGAAGAAATATGACTAGTTTGGACATACTGTGTGCTGAAAAACATGCAGAGCTTATGTAGACTCATCCCTCTGTGGCTTTTTAACAGGCCATGTTCTGAGCCTCCCTGGATAGGAGAAACGGTGACTAAATGAAATCTTTGTGAAGTGGCTCAGACCTTCTGCCTGAATGCATCCAAATGCAATCCCCTTTGATTGAAAATGAAATATTTTTGTGTACAGTTGGTATGAGACCACAGTTGATGTCACTGCCCTGCCCACAAGCTGTGTAGATCAGGAGACGAGTCCGCAAACACCAAGGACCACACCGTGTTTAAAACGCAGTGAGGTACAGGGTGTCTGGATTCATTTCCTGGCTCTGCTATTGAATTCCCATGGGATACTGGGGGACTGGTAATTTCTCCATGTTGCAGTTTTCCTGCTGTGAAATGTGAGTAATACTTGTCCCACAAGGTTTGTTTACACTGTCAAGTAAGTTCCCGTATTTTATATTTTATTAGATGACTGTTGTCAAACACTGCAAAGCTTTTTTAGAAAAGACTTGAAGAATTCTGAACTTTCTTGATATTGAATCATCTGGGCTGGTGTGATGGCTTGAACATAAGGGACGTGAGGCTTCTTGTTTGCCTGGAGCTGAAAGAATCCATTTAAGGCAGGTACAGAATTTGTGTGCCCCATACTGAGTTACTTCCAAATTAAACTGTTTGAGATTAACTTCATAGATCACAATCTGTTTTCTTGTCCTGAAGAAACATCAGGTTACACCAGATGCTGCACCAAAGTTCTAAATCAAATCTTCACATGGCAAAATTCCAACATACATATTATACAACTCACACAGAGATGGTAGCAGTCTACATAACAGGCCAACATGGGCATCTGGACATTTACAGCTGATACCAGATAACTTGACTTGGAAACAGCATTCAAAAGGTTTTCCCACATTTATTTATTTTACCTACCAGATGGAGATGCCCAAAGAGGCAGGGGGATGGAGGACTACCTAACATAAAAGAACAGCAAAATTAATTGGTGGCAGAAGGCATAAGATTAATGCATGGATGCAGGTACCTTTAGGACACTTAGAAATTCCTTAGAATAAATGAGATTTAAATTAAAGTACCCAAATCCTGGTGAATTTGTATGTGAGGGAAGGGAAGTGCTGGCTACATCTCTTTTCTTATGAAAAGGAAGCTGGAGCAGGCCCTGCTTTGTGCTGCTCAGTTTTCAGCTGCCTCCCACGTACCTGATGACCAGGCGTGTGCTGCTTTTTTCTCTATCTGTGGAGTAATGATGGAAGGTGACATTCTGTTGTCACTCTGTGTAGGGCAGCCCTCTCCCAGGAAAAGAAAATGAGTGTTAGGTGCCAGGGATTGAGAATATTTCTATTCCAGTGTATTAAGTGCCAAATGCTTTAAATAGCCAAAGATCAGAGTGAACAGCAATGGAAAGTGTTTTAATGGCAGTGTTACCATTCACTTTGCATGCACACAGGATGAAGAGTATTGGCAGAATTCACAGGCAGATGTTTGACATTAGTAGCTTACTCTGTTTCTTTAATCACAGCCCTGGATCTGCTTTATCAGTCCCAGGAGATGCTGTGTCACTCAAACTCCATTTGAAGCTCAGCATCTCTCTGACAGAGCAACCAATCCCAAGAATCTGGATAGTCAGGCCCTCTGCCCGTCTCAGCCTCTAACAAAACTAAATGTGTATTTGCTTCTTTTGTTTTAGCTTCTCTGAGGTTCCACCTAAGTTCATGTTCTCAATGTTTGTCTGCAAATAGAACACGCATAAATGCATTCAATCTTACTATTATTGTAAATGAATACTAATTTTCTTCTGTAATCATTTGCTTCCCAGGGGTGGTGCTTGAAGAAGGACACTCCAGCAGATGAGACAGAGGTGGCTTTTTCCTTCCTTGCCTTCTGTAGATTGGCTTTTTGAGGGCTTTGGTCCCAGGAGCACAAACCCTTGTGGCTCAGTCTGTGCAATGGGAGTTCTCTAGCAAATTAATTACGCAGTTCTGTTCATTAAGACAACTGAAATAATGCCTTAACACCCTAAAAGCAGGATCAATCATTTTTAAAATTGCTTTTTGGATACAGCTCTTGGATTTTTTCTCTTTGTGTACCAATGTATCAGAAAGCAACAGCTTTCAATCTCTTCAGTAATGAACTCTGGACTAGTTCTTGTTCCTAACTGGTAAACAAGGAGCTGTAAACAGCCTCAGAGCAAATCAGGAGCTGTGTCTGTTTGTCTTATGTGGTCTGATCCCAGTTGCATTAATGAAATCTAATGTCGCTGTAGCAAACACAGTGAATCTGCTGTACGAATACCATAGCTTACAGGGAATGGAAAAGGTATCTGTATTTTTATTATATTGAAGCTGAGGGGGGGAAAAGATTGGCTGGAAGGAGAAATGAAAGCAGTGCCTTGTGTTTTCACAGTGTATGTGCCAGCTAACACAGGGATAAGTACTCGAGAGAGGAACAGAAGACAGAACCAGAAGTCATCTAAGACAAGGGACAAAATTAATGCAATGCAAAAATAAAACAAGATGATGAAGAAAAGTAATTTGCTTCCATGTGGCAATTTGATAAGGGCATGGCCTCCCCACTTCGTTTAGGGTACCAGAGGAAGATCTGCAAAGTAGTAAAGCAAGAGCCTGCACTAGTGAAAAGCTGCCCAGTCCCACATGCTGGGATTTTAAAGAGGAGGCTGGTACACTTGTGAAATCTCAGTAACAGCACCCAGATACAAATAGTCAATGTAAAGCCTCACAGTGTGACCAGGACAATCCCATGTCACTGGGTATGGAAAATCAGTGTTTTATTCAGCAAAAACAGCTTAAGGTAATTATGAAGTGAATGCAATTATTCTTAAGTTGGCCACATGGAAGAAATCCAGTAACCACTGGAGCCAGGTTCATCTGTTGTTACAACCAGCCATCTGTTTTTATCTTGATTTTTGTGTGTCTGAAATCTTATCACAGAATCCTTTAGAAGCTGAAACAGAGACAAGGAACCTTCGGAGACATGAAGAACAGAAGCATGTTGTTGCAGGAAAAGAGAATTCAGTGTGCTAAGTGCTAAAAATATGTGTTCTTTCCTTGCCCTGAGCTCTGTACTCAGTAATGGGTCAGCTACAGCCATTTCCTGGAGACCCTGGAAAACGTTCACTGGTCTGCTGGAACATTAGAAAATCCTGCTGCTGAGGGATGGCAAAAATAGCACAAGCTCATTCTGTAAGTGTCTTAGAGATTCACAGAAGACCGATGCATGGATTGCCCAATGCCTCAGTGGATCAGAAGATACTGTTGACCAAAACTAATTATTCTTGCCTAAAAAAAAACATGTAAAAAGCTCAACTGTGACCATTCCCACCTGTGTGAAGTGCTATTAGCAGCTATTTCTGTAATTAACTAGGGTATATAAAGTAGTAGGAGACCAGAAAGTTGTCACAAGTGACCTCTGTCTTAAATGTAATGTTTCCAAAGGAAGCAATAGCTTGTCATAGATGTGATTGCTTGTTGAACTTGATACAGACTTCGATGGAGTATGGAAAGCCTATAAGAAAGAGCAGAGGGCTCAAAAGTATGACCTACAGGGAACTACTGTAAGATAAGGGGTCTTTTAATCCAAAAGATAACATGTGGCAATATGTTCTCCCATTTTGCTGTATATTTTAAAAATACTTTATCATAACATCACACATTCTATAGGTTGGACATGAAGGATGGATGTCTGCAGTTCAGTGCAAGTGGGCCGCATCTTTGCTTTCTCTTCCAGACAAGAAGAGAGACTTCAATATCAGCCAAACACCAGGATCCAGGCTGAGGCTAAGTAAATGATGTGCAGAGACTGTCACCAACACACTGCAGAACCTGGGCTCAGCAAGATATAGGCCACAGGCCAGACAGCCTTTTCCCCAGGTCTGGATGGCATGAGAATACCACTGACTGCTTGGAAATTGCTTTAAGGTACGTTTTAACTTCATTTTGCACTTAATGTCAGCTTCCCACCTATGCAGAAGTTCTCAGGCTGTAGAATACAAGGCTTAACCTGCAAAGTACAAACTGAGGATACTTATGAATTAAGGTAGTAGAGCTTTATTTTATTCACTTTCTCATACAACAAACGATGGAAATTCTGATGTATGAAATACCTTTCAGTGTCTAATCTCAAAATAGTATACTTTTGGCTAAGAAAAAGGAGCTGTGAAAGAAAAGTCACACTAAAACCAGTAAGTTGCCATAAAAATACGTTTTCTTACTGACAAGAACTTCCATGAGGAAAACCAAGTATCCAGTGAGAATGAAATGTCTCATTTTTAACTGAGCAATGCCAGGGAGAGGCACCAATCTAAGGCACACGCAGAGCTCTTGTGAATGGACTTAAACTGTTTCTCCTCCCCTAACAGCCATTTATCTGGGGAGTCTGATCTGGGCCCAAAGAAAGGGTTTTGTCAAAGTATTATTTTTTTAAATATCTTGAACTTTTCCTATCTTGTCTAGAGCCCCAAGCCTACCCCCAGAGCAATGGTAGTGGTAATATTGCTATAATAAATAAACCAAGACTTCATTGCCAATTACTCACCCACCTGAGCTAAGAACCTGAAAAATTTCATCCAAAAGCCAAATCTCAAACGTAAATGCCTCCCCTGCCATCTTCTGATTTACAAGTTATGTTTCTCTAGAAGAGAGAATTTTTTCCATCCTCCTTCATTTTTCTGACATTCAAATAATGACGCAGTTTTCATGTCCAACATTGATTTTTATCACCACGCTCAAGGTGAGTAAAGCTGAAAATGTTCCATAGCAAACCTTTGCTCTAGCTAAAAGTTTTCTGCCATTTGCTATTAGTTGACCTTAAGCTGTCAGTGTACAAATTTTATCCTTTCAGGCACTGAATCATAGAATCATCTAGGTCCACCACTAAACCAGGTCTTTCAGTGCCACATCTGCATGTGTTTTAAATACCTCCAGGGCTGGTGACTCTACCACTTCCTTACACAACTGCAGAGCAAGAGGATGGTTTTTAAGGGGGATGTGGATGTTAATTTTCTGGAATTAACCCTTTCCAGAAGTCCCACTCATGCAACACCATTGCTTAACCATTTCCATGAGGTCCTCACTTCCCCTCTGTATATATGAATGGCAGGAAAAAAATATATGGGTTTGAAAAACGATTTAATAAGTTTATAATGTCTGAATTGTTGACAAATTAGAGCTTGCTCCCCTATTGCTTATCATTATGCTCCTATTTTTTTGCTTACTCAGCCTTTAAGCTTCTGAATTTACAGTTTTTCTAGTTGCATCCTCACAAGCTGCTTTGAATTTTGACTCAAACCTCAGCCAACTGTTCCCTGAAATTAGGTTAAAGTGAGATTTCCACACAGAGGCACACTTACCCAGCCACTTCGTTAAGAAGCCTGGCAAGTCACAAGAATTTAGCTCCCTTAGACATGAAAATGGCTTTTTGTCATTGTCACAAGAATTCCCTCAAGACTACTCACAACCCAAACATCATAATTTTGCATCTTAGTGGTTTTATTGCAACCAGAATCTAAGGAGTCTTTTTAGCCTTAGACTCCTGGCTACCAGCAGAGCAAGAAATAAGAAAAGTACTACCACTAATAGCAACAACACAAGGAAAAATAATCCTAAAGCACTCAGCCGAGTAGGGAACAGTGAAATTACATACACACTCCAGTGAGCACTTAGCGCTAAGTGGTGTGGATTAAGCCCTAGGAACAGCTGAAAGATCACTGGTGATCCTTTTTCAGCACTGAAGTCCTCACTAATGGGAGATAAGCCTCCTTAATTGCCACCTTCCAGCACAATAGCTGATTTTTACCATCTCCAGTCCTTCAATATTGGCTGGAGGGTAGGCACAAAGCTGATTCATCTAATTTTACAGGCAGATTCAGGTTCTGCACATGAGCCAGTCCCTGACAGAGCACACCAGTAGAGAAAACAGCTATGTCATTTGGAGTATTGAAAGGGAACCAAATAATTGGAGAAGCAGGTAGAAGGTGAAAGCAAGTGTAATCATAGTTTAGGCAGAAGCTGCAAGTGGGACAACCATTCCACGGGATGTACCTACAGAAGCTCCCATTCTGTGATGTGGGAAGATGCTGTTGATCCTAAGAATGAAGTAAGGGTCCTAAGTAAATAATTACTCAACTTGCCCTGCTGTCAGCTACTCTAGGAGCCAGCATCGCCATTCAAGCCGACCCCAGACAGAGCTGGGAGCAGTGCAAGTCATTCAGGTCCCAGAACAGAACCATTTGCTCAGGCTGCCAGAGCAGTCCTTGGATCAGACACATCTGAAACATGACTTGGACAGCAACACTAAAAGAAGAACAAAACATGGCTATTAAGGATATAGAAAGGGTTTCATCTGCATAATGCCATCTCTCTAGGAAGAGCTAGTAGTTTGTAGGAGGACTGTAGAATTATGGAGTGAACTCCCATACCTTCCTGCTTTCTGACTGTTCACATTTACCAACTTGGCACGCTATCATCTACACAGCTACACACTCACAGATTGATCCACCAATTCTTTCTGTGAATTGCTCTAATTATTTGAATCCATTTAGTACTCTCGAACTCTTATTTACTGCCTCAGTGACTTTATTGTCATTATGCATTGAGCCACTAAAACCACTCCAATTTCAACCCACACCTTAATAATGCTGATAGGTACCTCTAGAAGAGGTCAGAATTTTTACATACTCTTAACATACTGTGATGTAACCTGTGGAGTTCAAGCTGTCAGCGTACAAGTGGTGTTCTGTCCAAACATAGGCTGTTCCACAGTCATCCATGTCCCCTTTGCTCTGTTCTTTCCATGTACACTGCATCTTGTCAGGGATGAAGGAGAGAGCAACATGCAGCACTAGTGACAGGGATGAGCCCAGCTGGGTCAGTGACACTGTAAGCTGGTCCTGCTTTGTCATCTCTCCTTTCTGAGGATCCCTTTTGTCACTTGTTAACATTAACCATCATTTCACCAGGTTACCAGCACCCCAGTCAAAATAGCTGGAAACTACTGGCAAGTTACCCACACGTCTGTATTTCAGCTCTAAAGATGGATTCTATTTTGCCCCTGCTCAGAGTCTCCATTTCAATGGACCTGAGCTCACATATGGAACTTGGCTCCCTTTACTCCCCTGAAGCCAACAGTGTTCAACAAGTGCTAGCTGAATCTCAAGCTTGCCACAATCGCTCCAAACAGCATTTGCCTCTGGACTCAAAGCAGCTAATGCTGAAGAGTGTAGTGTATTTAATGGGTCATTAGGCTGTTCTCATCTTTCCGTTTAATGATGTTATTCAGCTAAATAACATAAGGTCTGCCAGCTGTATCATAACACTGCTACCAGCAGGTTGCTCAAACATCCTGGGTTTATCAGCTGGAAGGCAACAGCAGGAAAAGCACCCTCTGGCCATCTTTAGCAGGGTCACCTCATGGCTAGTGGTATTTTAGTGAAACCTTCAGCTTCAGGATTTGAGTCTTCAGTCTCAGTGGCACTCAAAAACCAGCAGTACAGTAACTCTTCCCTTCTAAAGGCAGAGTTAATCATTACCTTCCTAGAGTGACAACTGCTTTTCTGTACTCTTGAGAGCTTTCACTTACCATGGCAGAAAGCTGGCATTCAAGACAGATGACCCTGCTCCCAGGAGAGGTCAGGCCAAAAGCTTCAAAACATCTTGTCCTTAGATTTAAATGTCATGGAGGAAGTTACTTATATCTATAAAGCCATCTATCATTATAGAATTGATTAATCACTTCTCCTGGTTTAAGGGCACAAACACATCAAATACTGGCATCAGCTACTACCAACTGTTAAACTTCTACTTTTAATTAGCACTGTTCTCACCCAGTACAAATGAAGTGCTACCTTCAGTTTGCAGGAGTTGAGGGTGTTCAGCAGGTCAGTGGCTCAGGGCACAGATGTCCCTTGTCAGGCTCATCCTAACTTCAGTTTACCCTTGAGATATCCCACTCACACCAGCAGCAACAGCCAGGGCAGACAGTCCCATTCTATTTCTTGCATGGCAGTAGCTGCACCATACAGACATCCTCATCTAATAAGCAGCTGTAGTTTGCATAGAAACTACCCATTACTATAGCTTGAGGAGCTCAGACCACAGCTCACAAGACAGCTAGAGCAATGCCATGGAAGCAGTTGACCTAGCTCAATTAACTTGCATTTCTGTACCCATTTTCTCTCCATCTTACTCCTCCCTTATAGAGCCCTGCAAGCTTGTACAGCAGTAACAGCCACACCACTCCAGGCAGTTTGCCACCTGCTTGTCCCTCCACAGCCCCTTAAAAACCCTGGCAGTACCTTGGCCTTTGGCACTGCTGTACAGAGCCACACCATCAGCTCCACCAGATTCAGCAAAAGAGCAAGTCCAGATGAATGCAAAAATCCATGAGAGTGGCAGAATGTCACCATATGAGGTTTGGCAGGATGTAGGCTGTAGCAATTGGACTGCCTGCCAAAGCACATGGTACATAAACTCAGCTTTTACCCTTCAAGAGACTGAGATTTCTGGGGAGCAAATAAGCTTCTCAGAGATGCTCATTAAAATCACTACTAACACCAACACAACCCAGAATTTGTGACGTGCAATAGGCAAAGGTAAACTAAGCCAGGATCTGGGACAGGCAATAGCCAGAAGGGCAAACAGCCATGCTGCTTCTCTGCCTCAAGCCGTAAGGACTGGAATTAAGTCTTCCTTACTAAGATTCCCCTTCTGAGAGAGGCAGCAGCCCAGGCCTGTCCCTTTGGTTTGAGGTGACATCTCACATTCCCTCATTGCAAGGGAGAGCCATTTTTGAGGTTTGCACAGAGTTGCTTTGAATTAATTATCCTTTCTCCAGCAAAACACTTGAAAGTTCTCCCACTGCATTTCATCCTTTGCAGCCCTCAAACACGGTTCAGATTTAAAGAACAAGGTACTGCTCCTCTGTACATAGAGTTAGATAACAAAAGGTACTTCAAGCTCCAGATACTTTTATTCTACTGGTAGTTGTCTGCTATTGATCTAAAAGCAAAGTAAGAGCATGTAAAAGTAAAAATTACAGAGTTGTCCCTTGGAGAGGTGTTCTAATTGACAAGAGGTTGTCCTTGACCTAAACCGTCCATTGAAATACATCTTCAATGAGACTCTTCATGTCAATTCCCTTCATAATAACACTGAAATTGAGGTAGAATTCTCCACTGTATCCCTGTGCATATTTGCCGTTTGATCTGGATCCAGTGACACTGCTAGCATGGACTAGTAGAGGTAGAGCCAACATAAAACTCATTCTAAAACACTTCACCTTCATTCACAGCAAAATTAGCATCACTCTGATTGCTGGCATTGAAGTCCCCAGGAGTCAGCAGGGGGACAGAGTTAACTGGCAGCATTTGACAACTGACGTTTACAACATCATTTCAGCCCTTTTAAATTGATAGCTCTTTGTAGAGTCAATCAGGAAAAATCAAATCCTGTGACACCAGTGGCTCTACTCACCCTTCTTCCACAGGAGGGCTTGTAGTGGCAGCAGGCTTTCCTCTATGAAAACCTGGAGCTCTGTTCAGGGCTTCAGCAGCCAGCCCACGTAGAATGGCATTTCCAGTAGCAGCAGCACCACAGATGCTTTCTCCCTTCACACACAGTCATCCCCACTAGCACAGGGAAGTTTTGTCCTTTGTATACCCAGCTTTTGAACTACAAAGCCATTTGGGTCCACAGCATTTACAGCCACCTGTTATCCACCCCCCAGGGCATGAAGCAGTCAGGATTGCAGCCTTGCACCTCCCTAGCACCAACCTAAGCAGCACACAGGGCTCTGGTTACCAAGAGGCATCACTCAGAGCCCCACACAAGCAGTATTATGTCCCCAAGTCAATTGGGGCAACCCCAGCCCCACCTCGGAGCAGCAGGATCAGCATCCCACCTCACCCGCACACAAAACCTGTTGCTAACAAAGCACCTGCAGTTTTACCTCAGTTCCCAGCTACAGCAGGAAGGGAGAAATAGCCCAACCCAGGTTAAGAGCAGCTCCCCACCCCACTCGAACCAGAGACCCCCACTTACAGGTGCAAGAGCTCCACAGCAGTCCCTTCTTCAGTGCAGCAAGGAGAAGGATGCAGCCCCAAGTGCAAGAGAGAGGGAAGAGAGACACCCTGCAGCTCCTGCCTGATGCAGGGAGGAGGCAGAGGAGGAAGGAGGGACTGGGCAAGACAGCCCAAAGCCCAGCTCCCAAGCCCTGGGGCAACAAGGCTGTCAACCTGCAGCCACCAGCATCATGCACTGGAAAGGGACAACTGGTTGCACATCTGGGCTGGGTTTCTTAAATGTGTTCCTCTGCAAACCCTCCTACTTCTGCTTTTTAAGGCATCCCTTGACCTTAGAAAACTTGTTCACAGGGTCAGGGACTAACTTACCAGCTCCCTGACATCCCTTCAGCCATTAGAGCTGGGGTACAACCCTTTAGAACCATCCCCAACATACTAAGCTCTCCCCAGCACAGCAGGCAGCTCTCAGGCTCTCACCCTGCATGCTGAGCTACAGCATTTAGAGAAGACAAGGGGAGCTTTTTAGTCAGCAGCAGGAGCCAGGAGGGGAAAGAACAGTATGTATGGCCCAAGTTAAACTAGGTGGCCTTTGTATGTGGGATGACAGGTTTTGCCTTTCCTGTTCCTGCCTCCCTCCCCAAAATCCAGACCCATAGCAGAGTTGGTAATAGTCATCCCACCATTATCACAGCAAGCCTTCTCCCTCCTCATACAGATTAAGGATAGAGGAAAGGAATCTCGGGAATGACAGTGAGTGCTCCAGCCCTTACTTACATCCACATCCAGAACAGAAAGCTCCGGGGCTCTGACTTGAACTGAAAAAAGTGTCCTTACTTTCAGCAGGTCCCTTATAGTTCCCCTCCGTAGGTACCTGTCACCAGAAGAGCCTCTCTAATCTGAACTAGGCTTGAAAAGATAAGCAGCAGCTTGCCAGACATCAGGATAACAACAAGCTCAACCATTATGCTGTGAGCAGACTGAGCATTTCTATGTGTAATCAATAGGACAAAAGCTAACAAGCACACTTTAAAAAGAACATGTTCTAGCCTTCTTGTATTAATCAATAGAAGCAAAATCCCCATGAAGTCACATACTGGTACCAGCTCAGGCAATGAAGGCAAATGACAACAAAACCAAAAGACAAACAAGCCTGAACCTAAGGACAGCAGGAAACCAGAGATCAGCCCCGCAGTACCTAAACAGGAGTCAAAGGCAGTCCAATAACACTACTGCAGTAAAGACAAAAAGTAAATAGAGCCATAAAATATAAAAACTAATAGAAAATGAAAAATCTATAACACACCTCTCAGAGAAAGGAAAGGTCCCTTACCTGAGCTGAAGTACAGAGCTGGGGCCAATGGGGCGTGTGGCTGGGGAGGGTCCAGGTGAGGCCGTCAGGGTGATGGGGACCTGCTGGGCATCCTGAAAACCTTGCTCAGCTACAGCTGGAACTGAGCAGCTCTGACATCTCCACAGCCACCTCCAGGTCAGGCTCCCCAGACAGGCCCTCATCACCTTGGAGTGAGGGGGGAGCACAAACAGCACCTCAAAGTGTTTTCTCAGCAGTGACACAGAGGGAGGGCAAGCGGTGAGACACAGCTGTGGGGTGCCAAGAGTCACCCTACACACCATGGTTGTTGGGATCTGTGGCATCAAATCTGATTGTGTAGGGAGTCCACTCCTTTGTTTTCTCATTAGAACAGGCAAATGATGGACACAGACTATGAGCTGGATGCCTACTGCCCTTCACATCAATCCACAGCAGCTGAAATCAGAAAGACCCATTTAAAACAATACCTGAGCGAACAAGGGAGAACCATCTCCAGCTTTCCCAGATCCCAGACCCATCCCAAGCACATCAAGGGCAGTACCAGGCTGTCACCATGTGTGGCCAGCAGCATGGGATGGCTGAAGGAAGCCAGGAGGCCTCCATGGATTCTGTACAGGGACAGAAGCATCAATCTCAATCTTTGATCAGGCCAAGTTTGTGTCCTGGGTGAGTTGCCTGTGGGTGTGATGGGGTGAATGGCTCACAAAGTGTTGATGCATTGTGGGGCTGTCTTGTGCTCTGATTTCTTCTCCTAGTTTGGCAGTCTTTTAGTGGTGAGAGGAGAAGTTGCTGTGTAGGAGGTGAATTATGCTTGCAGGTATAGACTTGGTTTTGTTCTTGCAGGGCCTGTGACATTGCTGTTGTGTGAACCATCATTGTAGATGCTTGTGATCCCTCAGAGGAAAATGACCCCTTCTGCTTTGTGTTCTGGAGCAATCCTTCCCAAAATATAGCCACCTCAGGGTGAGTGATTCTGGGCTCTGTGTGTGTATGTATGAGTTGCAGCTTGCCTGCTCTCTGTACTGCTCCAGCACATCATGGGCGCATGTGCCATCATGATACACGTGAGGACTGGCTGAGAGGGTAGTGGCAACCTGGGCAGGTCAGAGAGTAAAACTGGTACCAAACTTTGTCCTGAGCATAAGGCCAGGATTTGTGTCACAGCAAGGATTTCTGGCTCTACATTCTGGGAGCTCATTCACCAGCAACACCGGGGAAGAAGGAAGCTCAGGGTTTATTCCCCCCAGGAACTTTGGAGCACTAGAAAAACACTAGAGCACTGAAACACTAGAAAGCCTTCACCTGGAATAGTCTGTGTCAGTCACAGCCCACATGTTCAGGAACGGTCAATTTAAAATGAGTTCAAAAAGATGCTGCTGAGGGACTGGAAGAATTTGCCCTTTGGAGGAGAGGAACTGCAAACAGCACCTGCTGAGGCAGGATCTCATTCTGGGATCTCATTTGTCACTGCTCTAGGATCTCAGAGGTAAATACCAGAACACAGGACCAACATGTTTAGCTCCAGGAAAGTACTGAAAGGGCACTCAATGGGTTCAAGGTGGCTCTTTGTGCTCTCCTTTGTCCTGTGTGGCTCAACTGCATGTTTTCTATCATGTATTAGATGAGAATTTGACAGAAAATGGGTTTTGGCCATGGCAATTTTCTGCAGCCAGTGACAAAGCTGTAACTGGAGTTGGAGTCAGGCAGGTCGCTCAGGGCTGGGAGGAAAATGGGCCCGGGGTGACTTTGCTGGTGTCTGTGGGGCAGGGACCATTCTTGGCAACATTACTTGTAGAACCTGAGCATAGGAGCTCAGGTGGGCTCAGCAGCACAGGTTGGGATGTAAGATGCAGTGTGAGTGCAGTATGGCAGAGGAGTTCAATCTGAGATACCCAGGACCTTTGTCATTTCAGTTCAGCACACCTGAATGTGGTGTTAACACCATGGTGCAGCCATAGGGCTGCAGGGAGGCTGCAGCAGAGGTGCAAGGTGAGTCCTGGACACCTCTAAACTCACCTCTAAAGATCCTGCCTTACAACAGCAGCCAGGATCCAGTCTGGGCAGTGCCCAAATACCACTCCAGACACATTTCCAGCAGCAACAGCTCTTGTGGCTCTGAAGGGCTCAAGTTAAGGTTGATTGGGGTGAGGGTTAGTTTCCAGCTACAGCTTCTGGAAATCCATCTGAAGAGGGTTTGGGTGTATGTTCATTCCTGCCTTGATGTCTCACGGTGTTTCTCAAGATGCTTTACTGACTGACCATGGCTAGGAAGGGAATGACCACATACAACATTGCTGAGGCAATGAAGAAGTGATGGTTTTGTCAAACTGGCATTTAGAATTCCATGGAGCAAGGAATTCCTTCAGGCTCCCAGAGCTTGAGAAGTAGAAGGCTGATCAGTGAACCTTCTGGATAAGAGGAAAGGTAACAACAGACTTCAGACAGAGGAGGAAGGCAGGTGTGATTTTGACAAGACCAGCAAAACAGAAGACAGCTGTGTTGCTACAGGAACTTGGTTCATGATAATACTAAAATCACCCCTCAGACACAAGACCCTTGCCCACAGAGACCCTTAGTCATGGGACGTGTCATTCCCCCCGGGGGAACACGCACCTTGCTCTCCCCTGTTCCATACAACAGGACCTCCCTGTGCTCTGGACAGCCTGGAACGCTGTGACTGATGTTCCCCTTCCTCCGCTAGAGGGCGGCACCGCACCGCACCGCTCCCGCACCCTCTCCGCCGGCAGCCCATCACGGTCGGCTGCGTGCCGAGCTTCCCCGAGGCTACAACTGGCCCCGGGGCGCGGTACCGCTCGCAGCCGCCAGGGGGCACGGCGCCTGTCCCTGCCCCACACGGTGTGCTTGGGGTCGGTACCGTGCCCTCGGGGGCGGGCAGTGTTCGGGGTCCCCTGTGGTGCAGTTATTGTTGTTTTTTTTGGTGCAGGCTTATGATTTAAATCCAGCGAGCGGTTCTGGATCTGCCACATCCCGCAATGAGACACGTTCTCTGGGCTGCACCCGGAGCGTTTCCAACCCGACAAGCCGGGACGGTGTGGCTGTGCCGGCTGGGCATTCCCACACACCTGGGTATGACACTGGAACACCCAGCCTGGATGAGTGCGGGGTCTCCAAAGAGTGGGAGCCGCGACTAGAGGAGTTAGTGCCCTAATGCCGGTGAGTACCCAAAGGCACCCAACTGGCTCCACCTGCCTGCGGCTGCTGGGTTTGTCCGCTGCTGCTTCTGGTTCCCTGCTCTGGCTGCAGGCTCCCTCCTCCTGGTGCTGGTCCCTGCCTGGTTTCTGCTCCCTAGCTCTTGGAGCAGCTGCTATGGGGACAGACCCCTCCAGGCTGGCGCTGGCTCTGCTGGAGCCGGGGAGAGCTTGGAGCGGAGAGTGTGGGAGAGGCTGATGGGGGAAACTGGTTCCCACTGGTGGCAAGGACACCCTGATGAGGGTGCACAGGGAGGAGGGAGCGGGAGCGGGCGCTGCCTGGGTCGGTCTGTGCCGCTGGTGCCGCACGGGCCCGGAGGGGTTTCAGCCAGATCCTGGCTCTCTCCCGCCCTTCTGGGACAAAACGAGATATTCCTGGGGTCCTGGTCCCACTTCTGCCTCCCCGGCTGTCTTGGGGGTGCTGGGCCAGGTTGTGGGGCCGGGGTTGCCCAGGGAGCTGCTCTGGGCTCTTAGTGCAGGGCTATGCTGCCAGGATCTGACCGTGCCATGCCTGTGCCTGCACAGGGATGGACACAGCCATAGGCAGAGGAGCCCCAGAAGCAGCTGGGCTGCCTGTGCTGAGGCTGGCACTGCCACCTGCCCTGCCTGTGCCCACCCGTGACAGTGTGAAGAGTGCATGGCTCCAGTGTGGACACAGACACAGGTTTGGGCTTTGGGCCCCATCTTGCTTTTGGGTTGGGTTTGGTTGTTTTGGGGTTGTTTTTTTTTTTACTTGTTTTGATGTTGCACATTTGATTTGGGTTGGTTGGTGTTGGTTCAGGTCCACATGTCTTTCAGGCCCAGCTCCTGTTCATTTGCAGCTCCTGCTGGTTTCTGCTCTGGGTTTGGCTCCAGCTCACAGACAGCTCTGACCAGTTTCAGCTCCCAGTCACTGACTGTGCCATAGGGCTGAACAGAGGAGCCACAGCCACAGCGTGTGTGGTGTGAAGCTCCAGGAAGTAGCCGGGCTCCTGCCCTGGGGTTGTTTTGGAGTTGGGTTTGCTTGTTTGATTTTGGGTTTTGATTTGGTCAATTTGTGTGTTGGTTCAGGTCCCCGTTTCTTTCAGCCACAGCTCCTGGGCATTCCCAGTTCGGTTTTGGCTCCAGCTCCTTGGTGTCTGCTATGGATTCAGGTCCAGCTGATGGATGGCTTTGGCTCCTGGTCGTCATGACTCCAGCTCATCTGCAGCTTCAGGTCAGTGGATTCTGTCCCCATAGCAGTTCTGTTTTGTCACAGCTCCAGGTCTGTTTCTGCCCCCTGGATGGCGCCAGTACCATGGCGTCTGCAGCTCTTGTCCATCTCCAGCCCATCTTCGCCTCCGGCTCCAGCCAGTTACGGCCTGCGCAATGAGCCTGGTTTGTGGCCAGGCTGTAAATCAATGTCATGATGTGGAGATGAGTATGACCTGTTGTAATTGCTCACTTGTCCAGCCCTGGGCTAAAAAGTGCTCAGGACTCATGTATAATGACTGGTTGTACATGCAATGTATATCATGTACAATGGTGGTTGTACATGCAATGAAGTAAAGAAAGCAGCACAGCCCAAACCCAGTGTGAGATGCACTTTTTGCCCCAGGGACTCAGATGTTGAGCTTGGGCTAGTGCATGTCAGGGTCCTGGCAGTCAGGGACCGACGTGACTGGATTCCCCCCCCCCCCTTCCGGAGGGGCTTCAAGCACCAGCCCATCACCCCCAAGCGCACCCAACTAGGACCCGGCTTTGACCCCAGAACCACCCCACTGGCGCTCGTTTCTGAGCCCAAAGGCACAGGACTCGGGCTCGGGCTCTGGCTCAGCCCCGGGGGCCAGGGCTCCGTTCTGCAGCCAGGAAATGCCTAGCTGGGTCCATCCTGCAGAGCCCCGGCCCCGCGTCCTCAGCACCCAAACACCCTCCTGACAGCCCAGCACCCTCCTGAAGGTTCCGAAGAACGCGGCAAAGGCGGGGAGCGATGCCGACGACAACAGCGGCCGCCGGCACTCAAATCTCTTCGACCCGGCTCCCTGAGCTCCGCCCCGTTCCGCAAATCTTGCTCCGGCTCCGGGCGGGGTGGACGCGAGTCCCGGGGCTCTGAGTGGGACTTGTCACTTGGGATGTGGGGATAGAGCCTCAGCTGGGCTGGGGGCGCTGCCAGGCCTCCGCGCCGGTAAGGCGGCACCGGGACCAGGACCACCTCGCCGTGCCGGTGCCGTGCCGGTGTCCGCCGCTTCCCAGGCTCTGCGCGGGGCGCCCGGTGAGGCTTTTATGTGGCCGGCGCTGGTGCCGCTGCAAAACGGACCCGGCTGTGCGGGGACAGCCTGGAAACGCGATCCCTACCGAACCGGCATCCTGGGGGGCCAGGCACAGCTCACAGCGGCTCCTTGGGGATGGTGGGCACTGAACGACGCTTTCCATGGCCGGCCCCAGTAGCGAGAAGCTGGCTCTGCCCAGGCTGCTCCCTCAGCCCTGGCACCAATCCTGGCACCAGCCCAGCCCCGGGGGGCTCACCCGGACCCCAGGCTCAGGGCAGGCTCTCAGAGCCCTCAAACCAGCTCCCAAAGTGCAAACGTCCAGAGCCTGCTCCTAAGGTGCCAGGACAGAAACCTGGTGCTGGGCATCACCTACACATGGTGAGCTCCGGAACAGTGCACCAACATGGATATCTACCCTTTGCCACTTAAAACTCCATCCATGTAAAGACTCTGAACAGCACTCTCAGGTGACCAAGAAGCCAGCTCCCTAATTATAGCATCTACTCCCCACAAGCCAACGGTTACTGTTTAAAAGCAAAGGGACATTAGGAGTGCCTGTGAAGGTCCTCATCTCCCCCTTCCTTATGTTTGTAATCAACATCAGTGGCAATCACCAGATGACCCTGAGGAAAGAAGAACATATAAAATTACCTTATGTTTCAAACAGACAGTCAGTGTCAGTACTCTGGGACTAGATCCCATGGTAAGATCCTCAGCAGGACAGGAGACAAGAGCGCCTTTATGCCTCCTGAACTTTAGTTAACTTTAAGGTAGGAATGGGCTCTGATGTAAGTTAATACAGACCTCCAAAAGGCTGAGTAACACCACAGAGACACTCAGGTTGCCTGTAAGCACAGGTCATAGAATGGTCAGCGTAGTGAGGGAGCAGTGAGGACCCACACACTCAGTGCTCCTAAGTCCTGCTGGAAATAGTGGAACTGTCCTTGTGGTGTCCCCATGCTGGCATATCCCAAAGGGCTAATGGACACTTTGCAACCTAAAACTGCTAGGGGTGGGGAGGATGGAGGGCTCATTTTTGATCCAGAGTTTGGGTTTTATATCTAGTGTATATTTAAAGCTTTTACTATTAGCAACATTTAGACTTAACCAACACAGGAACACATAAAAATGCACAGGCCTGACAAAGAACCAGTATTCTATAACAAGAAATTGGTCTTCTCACCGGATTCATTTTTATTACAGGTCCAGTCAAGGTAGTGTGGGCCAAGTTAAGGAGAGGAAATCCTTTTCCCAGTTTATCTTTGGAAAGAAGATATATAAATCCATTTGAATGTAATTCCGAAATGCACATCAGACACATCTTTCTCAAGGAACTCAGTTTGTTTTGCAATTTCCCTTTAACCAGCTGCCCTTCTGCTTCTCAAGGGAGCTATTGCAAGAGCAAAAAAATCCTACAGAAAAGTTGCATACAAATCTCTTCAAATCTCTTGGCTGTCTGACACTGGGACCTGCCCTTGCTCCTCTTCAGGATCTGCCACAAGATCTGGTTTCTGCTTTTTGCCATTCAGACTTGTTCTCCACCTTCTTTTCATTTTCTTCTCAATCTGACCCTCTAATCCTGTGTGTCTCTCCTATTGTCATGTATTCCCAAATCTCTGGATCAAGCTCAACTCTATTTCTATTTGCTTCTCTTTTTCTCTTGCATCCCTCCCTTTCATTCTAGGGTGAGACATCCCTACCCATGGCAGGGGGTTGGAACTAGATGATCTTAAGGTCCTTTCCAATCCCAACCATTCTACAATTCTATGATTCTATCTCCTTTCTCCTCATCAAAGGAGGAAAGCTCACTTGCTTCTTCAGCAGTCTCCTCACCTCTGTTTACCTCATAGGTATCTTCTTGTACTCTTCCACCTGCTTCTTTCCACCTTCACTTCTTCATCATCCCTCACTCTCTGCATCCCACTGAGCTGATTTTCTATTTCCTCCTGTCTGTGGCAGCCAAGTGAAGACAAGTGCAGAGGGAGGTGATAAAGTTAGAGATGTTACCCTGAACCCCCAAGATGCAACTGTGCTGTGCTTCCCCACTCTGGGCCACTCTCTGGTCATGGCTTGACTGTCAGAACAAGACTCAAGCACACCTCAGCTCTACTGCCATGCTGAATCCAGTGAAAAGGAAACCCAGGCCCAGTGTTTGGAAGAGAGCCATGACTTACTCTGTCCTAGCTCCTGATCTGTGTGACTGAGGGACTGTGACTGAAGTCCAGCACAGAGCAGACCTGTCCAGATGTAGCCAAATGGACAGAAAACCTGCCATAACATAGTGTTTAAAGCTGGGCACTCCCTTTTACGGTTTCAGTCTTGCTTTCCCACCAACTGTGCTAAGGAACTGGCCACAGTCCTTACTTACCATTGATTACTGGGATCACTGCACTCCGCAAGGCATAAGACAGGAAATTCTCTGCCAAGGACATTTGCTGTGAGGGGGAAAACATATTTGGTGATTATTGCCTGATACCTACGGTATTGCAGCTTGACAGGGGAGATGGAGGGTTAGAACTGGAGTGACATGCAAAAAGGTCAGAACAGAGCTTGACAGTCTCAGGTAAAAAATATCTTTTTTCATTTCTGGGTGGCAAAACCTGCTCTGTCCTGGTGGTCTGTCTTATGTCACTGTGATTAGTGCCCTCCTTTCACTGCAGAGAGTCACCCTGACCACTTCTCAGTCTACAGTGGATGATCTAACAAATGGCATGGGTTTCTTTTATTCCCTTTTTTTGACTCCCCTTTTTACGATATTTCATTGAAGTGATTTAAGATAATTCCTGAAACTGAGCTTAAGCCTGACTTTGTATTCACTCCAACTGTTATGTCTACTCAATCCAGATGTGAATTCAGGTTGGCTGTCAGAAACAGCTAGAACAGGTGCTAATCCTATGCCTGTCTTAGTGCTGTTGGATGCTGAAGTGAGCAGAATCAACTTTGATGGCTTGATATGTCATGTAGACCCAGGCAGACATTTCTGATTGTTTCAATTAATGTTACATGGCAATAACTCTGTGATATTTGGAGCCTTTGATGAGAAAACAAAAACCAAAACAGACAAAACAGACAAAACCCCAAAACAAATCAAAACCAAAAACAAAACCCCAAACCCAAACAAATACCTTAAGAGGTATTTCCTCTTACTGGAAAGAAAAAGAACAGAGAATATACTATTTAAAAGCAGAAAGAGCAGTGGCATGGTGTCCCCAAGACAGACCAAAAATTGTTCAGCAACAAAATCAGATGAATTTCTGTTAACTCTGAAGGGCTCAGCTACCTTTCCTAGGCACTGAAAACATCAACTTACCTCAGAGAAACCAAGAATGGAGTGCAGCAGGGAGAAGTGGAGCCTGAGGAAAAGAATTAAAAGAAGACAATTCACTAAACAGGATGAAAGCACAAGTTACACACACTGCTTGAAGCTTCATTTGTGGAATTTCACACTGATTTCATGCTGATGCATGCATTTAACTTTGTCAAAGACTGTTTGATTCCCAACGGCTTTTGATCAAAACTGGCAAAACTACAACTGAGTTCTAGAACCACTGGGATCTCTCTGATACTAATCTCTTCCTACAGTCATTTGTAGTACTGGGCTAGGATTGTAAGACTTGGGAAAACAAATTTTTCTGGAACTGCCAGACACACATGCCTGCCATTCATCTTCAGATCATTGTACATACAATCATGGGGAAAACCAACATGTTGTTGTTTCCTGAATTTTCCTTAGTTACCTCTTCAGAAGTAATGAGATAATCAGCCTCTGTTTGGTTATTGTCAAATAGACTCTGGTACTGGCTGTCTGCAGGGAAAAAAAACAAAAAACAGTCTTCTGTGACTGTATACACAGACAGATACTGTCTTAGATACAGGCACAGACACAATTGCTTTTGTGATTGGAAACACAATGTCTAAACATTTTATTTGGTCAATATATGTAGATAGTGAAATGATTTGTGAATTTGCCACTTTCTGCCAGCAACTGAGATTGTGTGAGCAAAGTGGTAATACTGCCCTGATTACCTCCTTATCATCAGGATCATTTAAGTCCTTGCATGGCTGATATAACTGGCTCACTTTCAACCTAATGAAAAGATGTCTGGGGACACACTGAACTATTTTATAACAAACGGGTTAGAAAGAGTGGGCATCAGCTAATCACATTTTTATATATTATAATTTATTCTGCAATGATGACTCAACCTCCCACATGGAAAAAAAAGGGCTTTCTTAAGTAGCTCTTGCACCTGCCTATTAAACTCTACGATATGTGGTGCATGTTTCCTCCCTGTGAAATACAACAGAGCAGTATGCACATTTCTGGCAGACCACTATATGCTATTTTATGCTGATTTTCAAAGGATCTGGAAGATTACTGTGTGATTTGTTCAGCCCCAGCACTTAATGTTAGCGCATATTACTTACTAGGTTTCCTGCAAAGATGTACTGGGTGGTTGAATATGGCAGAACAGCAAACACTTCCACACAGCCAGTGATATGTAGGATGCATCTGTCTGCATTTAAACTGACAACAGGGGGTGAGGTAGCCATCAGCTTCAGCAGCATTGGGCATGCTGTTACGTAACTCAGGGCAATCTGTGGAATTTCAAAGAGGAAAAAGATGTTGAACACAGAGTTAAGCTTTTCTTAAGCCACAGTTTCTGTGGCTGAATCATAATCGCCTGCTATATACTGATCCTCTTGTTTGTTAACCTGTATTAAAAACATGCCATTTTAACTGCACCAACTGAAATGATGAAATCAGCATTGCATATACTCTGAGTTTCAGAAACCATAAAACAAATGATGAAGTTTTAGACCCACTGATGTTGAACATATATAGAGAAGCAATTTAAAGGTTGCTTGTGAAAAACAGATTTCAAAATTTGGGGATTAGCACTGCGAGTTAAAGAAACGAGGCAAACAAGTGATTCCAGAAAAAAAAGAAGAAAAAAATTGCCCTGACAATATAAAGAATTTGGATAAAAGGCAGCCTTCCCAAAGAGCCAATCTTTTGAAAAACAGAAACTCCTAAAGAAGGTTGGAACTAGATGATCTTTAAGGTCCTTTCCAAACCTAACCATTCTATGATTCTGTGACAAAACTTTAGTTTGCAGTGCTACAGATTGCAAATTTTGTAATTTTATAGTAAATGCTGCTATGTTAGGGATTTTTAAAGCATCTCATAGTATCTTAGTTTCTTCTTCTATCACATTTATAAACTTAGCTACTCATGACTATTACTGCCCATTGTATATAATCACCAGGTATCTGTGCATAAGAGATCAGGCTACCGGTAGCAGAGATACCATCACTTTTAACAGGAATGAAGCAGACTGATCTCACGGATGTCTACCATTTGGTCTTTATAACTGTTTCAAACACTGAAAGCAAATCCCGCACTTAGAGAGGTAGAGAACTACCAAAGAGTAGTGTGATACAGTTAGGAAGAACATAGAGTTATGATGGGGTAGACGTGTATCTTTGAATCTTATACTAATCATAGACCAGCTCAATTTCTTTCTCTTCCAGACTTTTGCAGATGAGCTACTAGACAGTAATATCCATAAGAAACATTAGGTACTGCTCTTTCTTAAAAGGTCTGTACAAGTAAAAGTACTCACCTCAGGAACGAAATCTTTGAATAGGGCAGTATTTAGGTTAAAAGTTGTAGCAAGCTGTAAACAAATGAAAAAAATCAGATCATTATATCAGCTTGGAAATGAATTAGTTTTTTTAAAAGAACAAAACAAACCACAACATATCCTGTTTACTTTAGTTTTATATAATCCATGTTCTGATTTAGTATTTCCTTGCCCCAGAGCGATTCCTAGGGAGCCCACAGTGCTCTGTGGGACAGAAGAGTGACAGATTTCTCATGGACATGTTTCAGAAGGAGCTACCAGTGAATAAGCGTTATTCCTTGAAAGAACAGATGTGGCATCCTGCTTACTTCCTGCCTTTGGGACTTTTTTAGATGAAATACACTAAATCTGTCAGAGGCAGCCAAAAATCTCAATTGGTCTTTTGCTACTGACTTTTGATGATGTTCGTCAGTGCATCACCAATTTTTAACAAGACCCTCTTAGCAGCATTTCAGTTAGCAAAACTTCTTGGAAACTCCTGACTGTTAATGCCAGTATGGAAATAGCATTTGTGAAAGAAGTCTTGTATGCTCTTCCCCCACAGCTGAAGGCTTAGCTTCCTTGTACCCGTTTCTTACCTCAATCTGCTGCTCTGTTAAGTATGAGGGTTTGTTTTAGCTCTCAGCATAACCAATACACTTGTGAGCCTCTCTGCAGCAGACTTTGGCTTCAGTACACTTTTTCCTGATTTGCCCTTTCCTATGTGGAATACATGCAGAGAAAACCTTTTTTTTTGGTTCTTTCTGCCACTTCTTGCACATCAACTCTGTGATGTTCATATATGTCATTCCTTGCTTAGAGGTGACAAGAAGTTCAGATTTTGACTTTTTAAATGATGACATACAGAATGAATGCCATGAATTCCTCCTACAAGTGGCAGAAGTGTGACCCAAATGTGTGCGAAATGGCAAATATAATGCGTTACTCTCCTTTGCTGACTGTCCATACTGCTGATATATGTAATTCTATTACATGCAAATTATACTCACCTCTTTGGACATGGTGATGTTAAAGGCCCCTGCTCTGTAGTAAGCCAGTGAAGCAGACTTAAGAAAATAACTGGAAACTCCCAGGTATAGCATGGAATCATCCTTGTTTGGGAGAGCAAATGGAGCTGGCACAAAGGGAGGGTCTGTGCGGTTGCCTACTGGATAGACTGTGCCCTGCAAAGAATCATTATCACATATTTCTAGTAATAAACATTTCTATCTGTCAGAATACATTAACAGTGGTTAAACAGAAATAAATCTTCCTAATCTGAAGAAAAGCTTGACATTTAAGAAAACCTGAAGTAAGCAAAGAAGTTTTTGATATGCTCTAGAAATCAGAAAATTCAGGCTCTTTTGAAAAAAGAGAGAAATCACAGAGAAAGTTTGAGTTTGAACATTCATGTGACTATTCTGAACTGCAGCTATGTATGAGACACACACCAAAACCATCCTCTGGATCACAGTTTTCTTTCTCTTGTGGCAAAGACACATCTGTTAATTTAATTCTAATAGTGGCATTTAAGGAAAATCTTTGAGCATGCCCAAAAGCACTGGAAGTTGCTTAGGACAGGGACACGAAGGAGCCTTTTATACCTCCAAACTCTTAGCCCTGGTCCAGCTGCCTCAGTTTTGGTGATACACAGGTGTGGACCTTGGTTCAATCAATAATTCAGAAAATAACCTTGGTTCAGAAAATAGTTCTTAAAATTTGAGAAGGTATGTGAGCTCAGACCATGTAGGACAAGAGAAGTGAGAACAGACAGTAAGTAGTGTATTTATTGCCACTGTAATGGTTAGTAATGTATTTATTGCCACTGTAATGGTTAGTAATGTATTTATTGACACTGTAATGGTTAGCAGCTGAAAGATTCAACAGGACATGGAAAGATATAAAGCTCTAAGAAAAAGAGTCGAGAGCTGGAAGATGGCAACTCATAACCATCAAGAAGCAGCCTGTTCCAAGGAGCACTGAAGAGCAATAACTTCCTTAACTAATAACTGACTTAGAAAGACTCATCTGGTATCCCACTGGGGTGTCAGCATGTTAAAGTTTAGCCTGTAAGTTCTAGTTAGCTATAGTACCTGATAAATGATTGCTTAGTACATTTAAGCTATGTATATCCTGCTTGCAGTGGGTTTTGCAGGTGGCAAAAGTTACTTGAACAAAATAACTAAGAGAGAGAGTTCCAACCATCACTCTAGCACATCTTTTTTAACTGAAGTCAGTTTTGAGAGCCATGCGGATGCTCTGAATTACAAGGACTGCTGAAGTTGCTAGAAAAGCTGAGCATTGCTGAGATATCTCTTGCCAACAAAGGTGAAAAATAGATAATAAAGGAACTGCTGTCTGCTGCTCAAGTGCTTTTTTCTGGGTGTGACCTGTACATATACAAGATGTTGAGTCATCTCAAAAGAAATGCTTTGGATTGCAATAACATTGGTAGCCATCATGGATTATGTATCACCGGTAACAGGCAAAGACCAAGCAGAAGTGGAAGACCCATGTACTGAAAGAACATCTTTATGCTGTTTATAAAAGCACCTCTGAAGGGTTTCAGCTCTGAAACAGCTTTGGTTATTTAACAAATGCAGTTAATTTATTAAATGAACAATTGTATCTGGTTTCCAAACTAGCTCTTGACCAAAATGTCCAACTGTCTTACTGCTTTTCCAACTAAATATTGGAGAGGCTGAGTAAGACTGTAGTAAAAGAAAATGAATCAACACAAAAGAGAACTGAAAAAGTCTCAGAAAGCATGATGGTATTAAAGACAAATTACCTTCAAATCCAAGTTCATGTGTGATTTGAAGACTGCAGGAGAACTAACTAGGGAATAGTCTATTTGTGCAAAGGCATCAATCTGGTTTAAGACTAGAAGGATGGATAAAACCAAAACATCTGTTATTACAAAAGCACATCACAAGCAGTTATTATTTAGCTAAAGGAAGAGACATGATAGAAGTTATGAATCTGAAGAAGAATAATGGTGGGAAAAGGAAGATGAAAATAAAAACATGTTATAAGGGAAAAAGAGTATTCCCTCTGGAAAAGTCAGACTGGCTAAAACTAACTCACATACCATGTAGATTAATACACTTGCTTACTACAGTTTTTTAAGATTTTCACTTCCTTAATCTTTTGAGGAGGTGCTATACCTGGGATGAGTGGTCTATGAGCTGGTGATCACGATCTCCCCCTGCCAGGATTACATTTCCCCTAGTTTCATCTGGTTTTTGCAACTCTATACAGTACTTGATGGACTGTTGCCCTAACAAACCATGATTCACTTCTATGGTCACCATCTGACACAGATAAAGTGCTACCCATTGTTAAAATTTGAACAAGTGCACCAAACAATTTAGCAAAGGTAACATTAAGCTTTAAGCTCTGACACCAAGAGTCCCCTGTCCAACCTGTCCAACAAATAGTACTGGGAAAAAAACTCACCACAACCACCAAAAAGAAAAAGGAAAAAAAAAAAAAGAAAAAAGCTGTGGCATTGATTATAGTAGTGAAAACCTTATTTGTGTTTTTGGACATGGACTTCTATTGTCTTCATGTCTTTGCAAGACACAGGAATTGTAACTGGTAGGAAGAGAAACATGGTTACTGTGATAGTCTTCCTGCACCATCTTGTTATCTCATTGAACCACAGCTGAAAACAAGATGTGCTATGCTTATAAGATCTTACAGGACTGCAGTACAGGATGGGATATTTGTGAGGTCTTTAGCAGATTACTGCTAACTCAGTTTTTCTGAGTCCAGGTTTTCTTATGTTCACAGTACCAAGAGCATAAAGGATCAGCATGAAAATGTTCATCTTGAAAATCTAAGGAAATAACACAGGTCAGCTACAGCAGACTGAAAAATTACGGGTGACTTGCTACAGGCACAGAAGAATATTATACATAAGGTGCATGCAAGAGATTTCTAGAGTGGGGTATGGAATAGGTTAAGGTACAGAACAATGGCAGTATTTTTCTTTCCCCCTTTTTTTTGTACTGTGAACACAGAAAAGGTTTGGTGTCTAATAAAAAAGGCTACAATTTGAGCACTATGAACAACTCACCCTTATGCTTTCTAAGCTGCGCATCCATCATCTGGATTTTGTATCTGATATTTATGCATAGCTATATGAAAAGAGAGACAAGTCAGTAACGAAAGACCTTTTTTCAACTCCTCCCTTCACTAGCTGAAACCACCTTTGCAAACTTACATTTTTATTCAATTTGGTGTGAACGGGCTTCTCAAGGTAACCAGATAGAAAGCTGTAGATCCAGCTGGAGGAAAGGAAATTAAAACAATGACTTTTTACCATGGATTGATATCCTTGAAAGATAAAATCTGGCAGACTGGGACACCAATGTACTTTACAATAATGAAAAGCCATTGCAGCTATATTGGTAGAGTGAACAGTTGACCGTTTCTATTAATTTGTGAGTCTCAAGATAAATGCTAGGGGTTCTCAGTCCCTATTTAAGAGCTATTTAGAAGGAAAGCTGTGAAGTTGTGAATGTTCATGTTAGCATCTTGGTAAACAACGCTCACTTAGCCACATTTTGAGTAAGACAAAAAAATTTCCAGAAAATCACAATGAGAACTCCAAGCATTGTTTCATATTCTCTTTTGAAAGTTTTATTCTTAAATTGTAGGTCAGCTTGTCAAAAGGCATAATCAGCCCAGACCACCTTCATACCTGCAAACCTCCAACCTCCATTTGGAAACTTGTACTCTTTAATATGCTCAAATGGCCATTTTTTCATATGCAATATGTCTAGTCAGCTCATTTGCTGGCACATACATGAAGAAGCGTGGATTAACCACACTTCACATACTCAGCAAAGGATCCTGGTTTTGAAAACTATTTATACACCTTCAATAGATTTTGAAATCTGTTTATACACCTTCAATTATTAATTGCACTCTGTAACTGGATCCCTAAAAATAAGAATTTGAATATACTACAAACCCTGCTACTTCCCATGAAGTAATTTGAAAACCTAATTTACCTACCTAGATTTACCACTTAACTTGACTTTTACACTATTAATGCTCGTCTGGCAATTGTGTAGCAACATGGACAAGTGGCCTGTGCTATCCCGTGACACTTTGATGACAACTGCAATAAACAGTCCTGAGATTGACGCCGTAATTCCTCCTTGGTCTTTGCTGCTCGGAGAAAAGAAACAATCTCAGTCAAGGAAACATCTGCTTTAAGGGAACAATGTAAGAAACTATCTATAAATCAAGTTTGAAAGGACTTCTTGCTTCTATCATCTAGAATGAAGAATGGGTTTTCTAGGGATTAAAGTAGATTAGGGACATGCATGGTATTCAAAAAACAGATTATATGTGTGAGTTTCCAGGATGTGAATTTTCCAGTGCTGTGCAGGATTTGACAAGTTTGTAAAAACGTCACGATTTCATAGCAACACAAGACATCCCAGTCCTTCAAATGGATTACTCTGAAGACCTTCAGGACTGCAGCAACAGAAGCCAGGTTGTTAATAAATATATAACCCAATATAACCCAGTGGTTCTCACCTTTGCAATTGTTATACGTTCCTCTTTACTGTAATAATTTTCAATAACCCTTTAAAATGTATAGATTGTTCCATTCTTTGTTCAGCCCCAAACCCACTAATCTTCCTTTGTGTAAAAATCCCTACTAAGACCCCAACAAAAATATCTTTATATCTAAATCCTTATACCTAATTCCATCTAATTTAGGTATTGGGACTACAATTAGGAGTTGCGGAAGCTGTACAGCATACAAAGAACTGAACAGATATTAGAATAGCCTTGTACAAACCTTATTAACCATAACAGACTGTCACTGAAAGCATCAGTTTTCATACCTTTGACCTGATTACTTAGGTTTTCTTTCCCCAGGCATTACTAAAGTAGCTGCACCATACTACAGAGAAAGAGCCCATGCCAAAAGGAATCTCAGACCACAAGTCTTTCTGCTTTCCTCTTTATTTTTCGAGCTAAGCAAGTCCTGAGGAAAGAAGATGTAATCCTAGATTAATCTCAACCCAGCCCCAAACCACAGACTACCCCTGACCAAAGCAGTGAGTAGTACTACCAGTCACATAGTCCCTCCTACCACCACTACCATTTTAAAATGCAACTTTCAGTCCATATATGTGCATTAAGTGGCTATCTGAAGAAAGTACCACTCTTCAGACCCTCATTTTCCAGTCCTTAACCAAACCCCCATATCACAAGTCATTAGGAAAAACATTTTCCCAAGGAGGGTTGTGCAACACTGGAACGGGCGCCTTGGAGAAGTTGTGTCATCACCATCCTTGGATAAATAAAATCACTGGACAGCTGACCTGATCTAGGCTGGTGACTTCTCTGGTTTGAGAAGAAGGCTGGACAAAATGATTTCCAGAGATACTTTCTACTTTCATCCTTGAGTGACAGGGACCACTGCAAAAGGATCTCAACCCTCCTCCCTTTCTGGGCTGCTTGGGAGATGGGGAGAAACCCAGCTACTTAGGTCCTTTGTTCCTGCATCCTTATATCTGCTCTTCTTCAGGAGGAATCCTGAGTCACTGGGTCAAGGTCTCAGCTCCATGCCTCCAGAAGCAAAGTCTGCCAAGAGATTTTACAACTGGCAGAGTGCTCTGGGACAGTGGAGAGGAGGGCTACAGTAAGAGCTGGAAATACAGGGATAACACTATCACAACTAAAAAGATGTGGTAAGACCCATCTTACTGACCCTGGCAACGGCCCAGGAGGAGCAGGTGGTTAACAGTCTCCCTTGGAAATCTCATTTTCATCTGGCTCCTCTTAGTCTGCTATGCAGTAAGCAACATGTAGAGAAGTAGGGGGTGAGGAGTGGGCATATTTTGAATCTGTCTAAACATACAAGCATTTACAAAACTTAACATTGAACAGAGCAGCCCTTCAAAAAGGCAAGAAAATCCCTTCACCCCCTAAACTCCACCAAAGCTGGCTCTGACCACCTCCACCATGATCTGCTTCACCTAATCCTGCACACCAGCTTCCTGCCTCCTTCACTTTAGAGTTTTTGCTTTGAAGTCTAGAGTTTTACACATCTGGGGTTTCTCCAGATTGTGCCCAGGTCCTTATCCTCTAGCAAGAGAGAAGGTGGCTTTGTGTTTGGGAACAGCTGATTTGCTCTGCTGAACACAGTATCCTTTTCCTCACAATATTGGTATATCAGAAGGAACAACATACAGGTTGGGGACACGGTGACAGCAATTTCCAGCCACCAGTACTGAGACCGAATGCAGAACTGCATGTCCACACTCCTTTGAAATCAGGACATACTGTAAAACTTGCAGCCTGGTGATCCATCTTGTACTATCTGGCTCACAAATAGAGCAACACCTACTGCTGTTGCCAGTTACTCCATTAACCCAAACTTGGAGAGATATGCACCTTGTCAACTTTTCTGATATGCCAGAAGTCTTAGCCCTCTCCTTGCCCACAAGAAAATCTAGAACATTATATTAAAATTCTAGAACAAAAATGCTGAGGTAAAAAAGTGGAAAAATCAGTATTCAATCATGTCATTAAAAACAATCTCATACTGCACAGGCTCATGAAGCTAGGTCGGTTTTCCATAGTGACCTTAATTCTGGAGTTTCCAAAGTTCTGAACTGGTTGGCATTGTGACAGTGCCCCTCCTTTAATAGAAGCACTTTGAAAGAGAATATACACTATAGCAGCAAATAGATAATTAGCTATAAAGTCAACCTTCTAGTTATACTGTATAATGAAAGTAACAAACATGGCCTCTGTGGTCCTCAATATTTCTGTAATATCATGTAATATACAGCCTGGAAAACATGAGCATACTAACAGATGTCTGACCTGATACTTCCCAAAGAGACAATCTGAGGGGCAGAATAATTTAAAGCAAACAAACAAAAAAGCATTAGCTGGCAGGGGATGTGTTTCCTTAAGAAGTTTATTCTAATCAATTGCTATTAAATGATAAAGCATATCTGACCTGAAGAATAATTACCAAGGACATTTCTTAATCTCATTTGCAATCCTTCTCCCATATCCACTCTCTCCCACCTGCAGCTCTTTGTACAATACTTACAGCAGCCATGCATTCATTTTCCAGTCTGCACTGATAGTAGCAGAAGCATGTGCCACTGACAGACTGATGCCAGTGCCAGGAATAAAGGAAGCAGAAGACTCTGGGAAATGTACAGCATTAATTCTCAGCCTACAGAATACAGAAAGTGGGGTATTAGACTGCATGTCAAAAGAGTAAGAACAACTTCTGATCACTGAAAACCCTTCAACTATAAAAGGCAAAGTTTGTGCTTTGGTGAAAGAATTCCTCAGAAATGACTGACCCTTGTACATTTTAGGGAAAAAAAGACACTTGCAACATTACACTTAATAGCATCCTTGGAAAAAAATCCTTGATACCTGGCCAGGCAAAAAAGGATGTCTGGCTAAAACAAAAACCTCCCCTTGGGAGAAAAACAAACTCCTTAAAGCAAATGTGCTCACTGGGGTAAAATAAGTCTGTGTTAAACCCAGATGCTACATGTATAAATACATCCAGGTTGCCTGAAAGCTAGCATTTGCTGAAGAACACCAAAGTTTCTCTTTCCCCAGTCCACTCCCTTTCCCCAGCAAAGGGCTCTGGAGAGGATCCATTTTTCTTAACAAAATCTTACTTTAAGAATTCCCTGTCAAAACAAATGTTTCTGATACTCAAGCATATTGTCTGGCAAATGGCTGTGTTGAATTAAACTGAACAATGTAAAGATATCAGCTGTAATCTTACCATGTAGCATACATTCCTCATTGTTTCCTGATATCTGTCAGAGATATCTGAAACAATTGCCTTTAATCTACTTTTCCCCGGGCAGAAGGCACCAGCTTCTTTTGCTTAAAATTACCATAATTTTCCAGTAACATGTTGGGCAGCAGTAAGGATGCCTTTAGTAATCTTGTTTGCTTGCAGTGAGCTAAAGTCAGATTATCCACTGGGAAGGCGGCCAATTTTGAGAACTATGGTTGGAAGAATGAACCAGGGTTTTGAAGACCATGTAATGATTTAGGCTGGAATGGGACCTCAGGAGATTTTATGGTTCAACCTCCTACTCAAAGCTGGGCCAACTCAGGGGCCATGCTCACCTGAGTCTTGAACACCTCCAAGGATGGAGATTCCCCAACCTCTTTGAGCCCCTTCTCTGGTACGCCCTAGCATTTTTTTGGTAACCTCTAATTGGAACTTTTCTTGATGTAACTTATGTCTGTTGCCCATCATCCTTCCACTGTATACCACTAGCGAGAATCTGGCTCCATATTCTCTATAATTACCACCCAGCAGACAGTGGAAGACATGCAGTAAGACACATGCACCTCTACCCCCATAGCCTCTTCTTCTCCAGCCTGCACAAACACAGATTTCTCAAATGTGCAGGGATTAAGGTCACAAGGATGGTATAATGGAATGAATCTGGCTGGAAAGCAGGCTGTTATAATAGAATGAATTCTGCCGGAAGGCAGGCTATTAGGAAAATACCAGGCATAGGCAAAAGATGCAGCAGAAAGTACATTATGTCTCACAGATTGGTATTTCTTGTCAGGGGTAATATGTAAGGAAAAGGAAGAAAAATGCTACTGATGAGCACAGTTTAGCTTGATAATAATATTAAAAGACCAGAAGTTTCTGTTTTTCTGAAACAGAAAAACAGCCTGTTAGAAGACGGGATTGAATGCTGTAGAAAAACCTGCTTTTCTGTTAGTTTTATTTGGAGAAACTGTAGGAAACTCTACAAAACTTTTTCCACTGGCTACTCCTGGTACAATGATTTTCCTCAGCAGGAAATAGGTGTTGAGCCCTGTTCAATCAAAATCTTGATTCACCATTGTAAATCCATACAAAAAGATTCTGTAGAAGTCATCTTCCCACCATGTCAGCCCAGATGACACCACCCCCGGCACACATTTTCATGTTAGCCCTTTGTCGGCTTTTTCTCATCAAACACAAACAAACAATTTTCACTGCTACAGGTCCTTTCTAGTATAAGACTATTAGTAACACCAGTTCCACCATCTTTCCCACCCATTTCCCCTGCTCTATCATAGTCATGAACATGTCTTGCCTCAAACTCTGATAAAAAACCCCTAAAATAATATCAAGGTGCTCCTGCAGAAACTTTCTAAAACTCATCTCCAAGTGTGGTAGAAGGAAGGACTTAAAAAGCAAATCAGAACAACAACAAAAAGGCTGTGTAATTATTACTATATCATAATAATAAGCTGTGTCATCCTAAAACACTGAAACGCATTTATTTTACCTTGAAATGACATAGTTGACCTTAACAACCGAGAAACTCTCCTGCCCACTCCAGCTTGGGAAAGTCTCTTTCAGTACTTCTTGCTTCAGGAGCTCCATCCCAATCCTCCTGCCTACAAGGGGACAGAGGAAAGCATATGCCTTGCAGGTTGGATTCAGGCACCCAAAAGTCCAGATATATTGCCAAATAATTTAATTATCACTTTTAACATAGTTCTTGAAATGCTCTGATTCTATGATCCTTACCTAGACCTCCTTCCAGCTACTTATACACCCACTTATAACTTCTATTAGCCTCAAATACAAACCATTTAACCCAAGATAAAGATCATCTATTAGGATCACCTTGTCCCCGAGTTGTATTTTATATCTTACAGCTTTTGTCAGGTTTCTGAAACTGTTATACTTCCCTCACTTCAATAGCCTTGGGAAACACTTGGTCATCACCTTTAACTCAAATTGCCTCACAGCTTTTGGATGAAAAAGAGTTAAGACGGAGCAAGATGACTTCTATATGCAGTGTTTACTTAAGAAAAAAGTGTGATATATGCATCTGAAATGCTGGCATGTCAAATGTGGAACTATCTGCATTGCTGCGTGTGTACAGGAAGTTGTTTGAGGTTTAAAGACAATTCTTTCAAACGTTTTCTTCCCATTTCTTTCGGAGTACACTTGTTTTGCCACCACACTTTATATATTACAGCATGCTGAAGATTTCTGACTTATTTCCTTACTTTCCTTGCTTTGAGGAAGCCCTACTGTTTTGAATACTTCAGTGCTACTTATGCATTGATAATACACCTATAATCGACAAACAGAACATCTTTAAATCCCAAATTCCTCGTGTTTTCCTTGGTTTTGCTCATCTGTGATAAAGACACTGCTAAAACTTTAATACACGAATGATGTTCTGCTTTCAGATATTTTTAGTATCAGTTTCTTTAGCTTTTGGCCATACAGTTGCTGAATACAAAATATGTATTTTTTTCTCCCCCAGACTTCAGCATATTAAAAAAACAAAGAACTGAAATCAATGTTAACTCATCACTGGAATACTTTTTTATAAAATGCATCTTTTATGAAGGAGAGATAAATTATGATTCCCTCAGAATTCCTACCTCCAAAGCAAAATATGGGCTCCCACTGAAATAATTTAAACCTCTCTTATGGCTGTCAGTGGAGGCAGCCAGTGATCCTGGTGGAATTTCTCTCAGTGTTCTTGCAGCGGGAAAGGAGCATGCAGAAAGGATCTATTGCCTCAGCCTTCGAATCTCATATTATGAGAAGATACATGAAAGGCATCATGCTCTTCAAATACAAGAAATACGTTTGGGAGGCACACTGTTAATGTCTGCTCTTGCTACTAATGCAGGGGTGTTGGCTCAGCACTTGAAAGCCAGGCTGAATGTCACAGAACATGTTGGGCTCACACTTAAGAAATACCAGTCTGAATTCTCATTTCTAAAGACATGAGAAATCTCTTGTATATCATAAAAAGGTATGAAGATCAGTCTGTCTTGGGTGACTGATGTTTGCCCTGCACTTTTCAACTCCTCAAAAGCCTTTAAAACAATGCTCATACAGAGAAATAAGTGTACCTGATCCTTTCATCTCGAAGGCATAAACACCGAGCTTCTACTTTTCATTACACAACTCTATTGTTTGCCTGTCAGTATGTTCAGAACATAAATGACAATTAATCCTTAGCATGACCCAGCCTTTGTTGAATTTGCACCTTGTTAACCTCGATTATTAATTCTGTAAACAACTGAAATTATACTATGCGCCCTTCACACCCATGGACTAGGTTTTAGGTAAGAGACAGTGAAAGTTAGCATGAATAGAAGAATAAGGAAAATATATTGTGGAAATTGCTGATATTCTGTTAAGGGGCAGAATTATGGCAGACAGTTATTAGTGTACTGATATCAGATGCTATCTCATACCAAATAGACGAATGGGAGTAAAGGTGTGCTGCTACTTGTCTGTCCCAAAATTATAAGCTTTTTTCCAAATTATGTCTTATTATCTTCAATAAAATATTGCAATTCCAATTAGGTTTTTGACACTTTAAAAAAAGAAGCAATTATATGGCCATCTTATGCTAGTTCTAAGAAAGTAGACTGATATGAGGAATACAGTAGAAACACTTGGAGTGTAGGAGAATCACCAATGGAAGAATAAATTCACACCTAAGGTGCACAAAAAAGAAGGAAATAAGTGAAAGAAGAGACAAAGGGTGCTCCTAGTGTGAAGTGACAAAAGGAATTTATTCTATTTCAGTATTTAAGGAGCTTCTACACTGCACCTTTATTAAAGAACTATATTCTGTGCATAATGTATTTATCATGTATTGACTTCTGGCAATGTCTGACATACCGTAGTCCAGCCCCTTCTGAGTAATCCTCACTTTAAGACCAGGATTAGCCTCAAGCTGCAAGGACAGCCAACACAGCAGAAAAGAATACCATGTCTTTAGCATCTTCTCACCTTTGTCTCAGGACCTGTTAACAACATTCATGATGCAAACATGATCATAAACAATGCATACCGTAAGTGGCAAAAAATCCGCATCCATCACTTCCCTCAAGGAAAAACTCCTTTATTTCTATTTGTGTACCTTTCTCACCCTAGTGAAGTACCCTACTTAACCAGTCTGTAGATACCAACCACATCTGGTTTCTCCTTTGCTGACAGTCTGCAAAAACTTTAAATAAAACTCGCAATAAAGATTACAGCTGAAATCTGCCCAAGAACTAAGAAAGCTTCTGAGGAAAAAAGAGAAGTCACTATCACTGTCTTGTACAGGTTTAACACAGCCATAAAACCACACAAACTGACACTCTATGACTTAAAGAGTACCTCTGAGGAAGAACTGTATCCTTGTCTCACCTTAGTCCTGCACTAAACTCTCCAGTTGCAGCCCACAGAGGAATTTCTTTCATTTCCAAATATTCAGAAAAGAAACCTCAACAGGTAACAAACACAACACAAACAGCTCTGAAACATGATAGCAAATACAGTGTTTCCCAACCTGAAGTCCGGAAAGCGCACTTCAGTTTCACTAATATCTCTGCTGTTATCACAGAACTGGGACGGAGTTTTTCAGTTTCTCTCTTGCTCCTTTGTTTCTAGTTACTCTGCAGCACGCTCAAACATAGGTACATTTTCTACACCTCACTCAACAATGCCAAATCAAAAAGGACTCAATAGCTTCAAGACTTTAACCCTTCCTACACACTGGTATTCCATACGGAAAAGCACCTCTGAGGGAAAAGGAATACAAAATCTATGTTTGACAGGAGAAATATATTGGTGGAATACTTAAAGAAAGCAGCAAATAACAAAGACACCAGTTTGATAAATGACATAAAAGCAGGTGATCTCCACCTCTCCACAACCACAGGAAATACCCACAGAAAAACTCCAGTAAGTTTTTGTTTGTGGTTTCCTCCATTTAGTGTGGAAAGCAATGCTATCCACTTCCCAACTCATGAGGCAGCAGTCACTCCAGCACAATGAAATCTTTGAACAGAATCCATGGGAGGAAAACGCTGAGCTTACCCCATAGGTTATATTTGTGAGGAGGTCTGGGACCCCCCTAATCTTCTGAAAGCTTTGCAAAAGCACTGTGTTAGCACAGCTTTTCCTGATTGTGGCTTGCCTACTGATGCCCTTCATACAGTCTTTCAAAGCCTTGGAGTAGAGTTGCCAGAGAACTATTAACCTGTGCCAGTCTGCAAAACAAGTAACATAGCTCCAGAGCCTAAACAGAATCCGTTAACAATGGATAACTCTGTTGGAAGGCAGTTGTCTGATGAACTGATGGAAAAAAAAACCCTTTCCACTATTTGGATCCACTGAGTTCATGTTGCTGACCTCTGTAACCGCCCTATCAGAGCACCTGAGCTAGGACTACTACATTCATCTTTACCAAAGTCCATTTAGCAAAAAGATAATCGGTGTTCTTCTAGCTTTGCACTGCACACTGCCTTCACGATCAAGAATAGTAAGGGTGCTCTTAAGCTGGTCCCCAAGAGACAGGGGAAGACTTAAGAAATATCTAGACCTTCAGCAGGAATGAAGCATGCATCAGTTGTCTGGGATCTACCCAGATTCAGACCTGAGTCCATCATTTGTGTATATCTATTCTAAGCTTTCCTCTCTGCTTCCAGCTGTTTGGCTCACTCATTAATCACTTGTGCAACTGAATGTACACATTCAGTTACTTTAATGGAGGTGGCAGCAGCATGAGGCACTCTCTCAACCTATGCAACTCCTATCCTGGTTTTACATAAATTGCAGTCATGTAAGAAGTCACCACAGATTCCTAGAAGGTGGATGCAGTAATCTCACTAAGAAAATCCTCCTGACCCATTTTGTTCATCACAAGACATGGGAAATCTTCCTCTGAGAATCCTCCTCCATGGATGGAGCCTCTTCTTGCTACACAGAGAAATTTGATTTTGTGCTGCTAATGCAAAGGTATCAAACCCTGTCTTTGATATGCCACGTCAAAGACTTTTGCTCTGCACACAATTCAGCAACTAAATACTGTAAAGAAACATGTAGATCAAACATGGTGGTAGCTAAAAAGGTCTGAAGCAGTCTGGCAAACCCTAGGAAAAAACCTGAAAGGCCCTTTGCTCCATATGACGCTCAAGGTTTTCATCAGAAACAGAGATGTCAAAAGCCACATTAGTAAACTTCAGACACCACTTAAGGGTCATCTTTAGACAACCATCCTGAGACGGTGTAAAGCAGAGCTCCACTAAATACGTTAGCCATAGAGCACTAGCATAATGGGCTTTAAAATGCCTTTTAGGAATAAAGTTGACCACCATCAAGTTGCAAGAAGTCAGGAGGTTCTTTCCACTGGGCTTGATCTGAAACTCCTCCCCCACTGGCACACTTAAAATGGTACTTCAGATTTTCACAGATCTCCTGATGATGCTCCAGCCTTCTCATTCCACCACCTCTCACATCTTCCAGTGTGACTGTAGTCATTCGTAATATGAGTATCCTAAAGCTTAATATATACACATATGCATTTATTTAGATGTATTATAAAATACACTCTTTATAGTGGCAAATACAGAAAGAAAAATAATGGAAAAGGTTCACACTCAGTTTTCAGGGAAAAAAAAGGAACTAATTCCATGAGGTATATAACTGAAGCAGAGACCTTTACTTTTTATAGCTCCCTACCATGGGAAGTTGACTGCAGGTCAACAGGACTCCAACTATATTAAGTTCCAAATTTCTCAAGAGAAACCACCAGGGCTATCAATAGGGTTTTCCTTCTTTGGTGGAATGGATCCTATTGCTTGTGTTTTACACAGACCATGTAGGGGAGAAAAACCCTCAATAAAGTACTCTGAGTCTTTAACTCAACCATGTCTCTTTAACAACCATTCTGAGCTACTTATAGCCAGTTTTCCTTAGTTATCATACTGCGTATTATTTTAATGAATTTGACTTAAAAATAATTCACAGTTTCTGATGAAAGTGAACTATGCTGAAAGTCAAAATTCTTCTGAATAGAACCATTTCTTCAAGCTTGTAAGCACACAGGTTTCCTGTACTATTTTGACACAGTGGTCTTCCCAGCCTGAGGTGAAATTTATACATGGGCATTGGAAGCCTCCTGCTTGCAGACTGAAACAAAATGAAAAAGGTGGAGAAAAATATTGCTCATTAAATAACACCCCTTTAAGAAAGATATGTGAGGAAATACGTAATAATACCAGTTTATTTGAAATTTGTACAGACAAACTTGAAGGCTGTGGAAAATGTTTTAGCCTGTCATCATGACCGTTTCACAGGTGTTCTCCTATTTAATACTTACTGTTGTGCAGAGAATATGTCTAAACCTTCCACTGATGCATGATTCATAGAATTCAAAGGGAAAATTGGCAGAATGCCATCAGAAATGCTCAGCTGTAACTGGTGTAGCTGGTTACCTAATAATAACTACTATAGCTAGCTCCTGAGAAACTAAACTATTTTGTTTCAGGCAACTGCTTTAGCTTGTGCAAGATACTGAAATAGTGTTTCAGCTGGAAATACCACAACCATACCCAGGAACATTTCTCATACTAGGGAAGCCTTCTCCACCCTTCCTAAAGAGTGCAGACTAGGCTGCCCTGGTGACAGTGAGAGTGCTAGAAGGTGGCTGGGACAGGTGTGAGACTGAAGGACAAAACTGAGCGAGGCATCCATGGTTACTGGATAATGGTCATGATGTTGAAGCAGCAGCATGACTCACTGGACTCAACCCTCTTCAAGAAAGACGAGAGCAATTCTGATAGACACAATGTTCTCGATGCCTTCTCATGTGTTCTCTGCCTTTCTAGCCTCTTTATCCCTGCCTTTGCCACCCCCACCCTCACCCCATAACAGCAACTTACTCTTCCAGATTTATCCAGAATGTGGCCCCATTTGATGAAGACTGCATAAGCACTTCTTAAAAGGGGTAGTGGCAAACGCCACAGCAAGCTTCTTGGGAAATCACTTGGTTTAATGCTCACAGCTGAGGGCCTGGTACCTAACACCAAGCTGATTGTAATGAGCATCAGCTCTTCCATTGCCCAAAGAGTGTTATTCCATCTCAGTAGTCCCTTTGCCTTTCCTTTCATTACCTTCCTCAGTACTAGCCTTTGCCTTTCATTGATTTGATGTGTGGAAACCAGACAATGGTTGCCCTTCAGTCTGAGACTTACATGACAGCAAACCAGTGCTGTCAAAGTGAACTGAAGTTTAGCAACCACATTTAGGTGGGTTGGATGACCATATTCAGGTGACATTAAGGGGATTTCACCTGTAGCCCAGAACATAATTTTGTCATTTCAGTCTCCTTTTTCTGACTGGCCCTGTAAGTGCTGAACGGACACAGACAAGGCTGTTCTTATAAATGTGGGTTTAAACAATGTGAATAGCGCCATAATAAGCAGTTATACTTGGTGTATAACTGTATTACCTGTGTAAGACAGGTCTTTCAAGTTCACTTTACATCTTGTTTTAGTACTATACTCCTAGAAAGTATCACAGCTTTCCTGCACCTCTTATTTCTTCTACTGTTCCTTGTATGAACTGTATGATTAGAAAGTAAACCAAGATGAACTGAGACTAACCATTGCTCTGAAGTTACATTCGAATTCACTGTTCTCTAATAGAATTCATCAAGTAAAAGCTTGAATAAATCACGCCTTTTACATTTCCTCCCCAACTGACATGTCTGCAAAGTGTGTCTTTCTAGATGAAACTGAATATACTTTTTTTAAAAAGATCTAAGATGTGGAGAGGGGCTTTTTTTTTTCCCCAAGTGTGACAGATAAAGGGGAACTAACGCCAGTAATCTTGACTTTGTGCCACTTTATATTTTTGGCAAGACTATTTAACCGCACGCACTACAACATTACCTCAAGATGCCAATTCAGTCATCTGCCTTAAAAAACCGCCACACTCCTTTACAAAACTAACCGCTTTTGAGGGCAGCATCTTTCATCCCTTCCTCTAGCACGCTTCCATAAACTTCACCAACAGTTTAAGGCCCAGCCAGCAGAACACTCTCT